CGTCAGCGCACTGGTTGTACCGGTAGGCACGAGTACGTGGACTACCTATGGTACGGTACCGGTACTTGGTTGCACATGATCGGTATCTAGAACCTTCGTGATGAGTCTTCTAGATGTCAATGGGTTCATTGTCTGCCATTTCGGATTGAAATTCGGGCATCATCAAAGAGTTATTGTACAGTAGTATATCCATTCATTCCCTCTATATCTGTAGACTATCATTGGCTGTGTTTGGTGGCCGCGTGACATGTGACAAGCCAGTTCAGACTCGGCCTGGCAGCACGGTCGACGAGCAGCCCAAGGAGGACTGCGTAACAAAGGCATTATAGAAACCTCGTAATACTCATGGGCGTCAGAGGAATGAGAAATGGATTTATTACCATCATCGTACCATGTACTGTAGATTCCAAGTTCTGGCACAGTGATGCGCTTGCTGACTGTGCGAGGTACATGCAATCAGTACCGTCGGTATCTTCGACCAAGCAACGGCCGGGCCCGCATTTTCCTTTCCCCGATGACTAGCGCAGGCCCACGGTTTTCTCTCCAACAACAGAGTGAGTCTGGTTCACGCTGCTGCCCACGTCACACGGCTACCCTTCAATTCCCTGACCCGTGTTCCCTCCGCCCTCTCTCCCTCTCCCTCTTTTCTCCTTTCTCCCCGTTGCCGCTGCGTGCGCCCTACAGTCTGCCCCTTGGCCCCTTTTCGACCGCGCAAAAAGACGTCACCAATCTGACCCTACCGGTACCCGCACCTACAGGACGTGTTCCTGTGAATACCGTCTTAGCCTCTCAACTATACACCGCCAGCCACGCGCACCACTCGGCACCTTGAGCCAGACTCGCGACCACCAGCATCCTTGCCCACGTCCATCTTGTAACAGAATTTCTGTGACTTTGACTAGTCATGGCCGTTCCTACACAGCTGGCCTGTCCGTATAGCCTTAGCGAGCAGCCAAGTTTGGAGCCGCCTGAACCCAGGACTGACAAAATGTGCAGATCGCACCTCCAAGGGCATCGGGCTCTTCAATGCGGCCCCAGTCTACGAGCCCTTGCCTGGCTTTGTCAAGTACTACTCGTCGCTGCACAATGTGTAATATTGCCATGGCTAATGCTCGACCAGGCCCGAAGGCAACCTTCGCTGCTGCTGCTACTCGCCTGACAGCAAATACTTTGCATGGGCATCGCCTGAACAGTAGGTATCTTCCTTTGACCCCCACAAAATACAGTACGTAGTGTTGACACTTCTCTCTGCAGAGTCTCAGTAGTCGATGCCTCGGCTGGCCACGTCATAACCACTCTTCCCCTGGCAAACGTCTTCGAGCTTGGATTTTCGCCGCTAGGGACTTTCCTCATAACTTGGCAGCGCCCCTCAAAGGATGACGACGGCAACGCAGCAAAGAACCTCAAGGTCTGGAGAACCGTCTCAGAAGAAGCCGAGGATGATGGCTCACGAGCAGTGGTTGGCGAGTACGTGCAGCGAAATCAGACAGGTTGGAACTTGCAGTACACATCCGACGAGAAGTTTTGCGCACGCGTCGTAACAAACGAGGTGCAATTCTACCAGTCGGATGATCTCCGCAACCCTTGGAACAGGCTTCGCGTCGAGGGCGTGACCGACTTCGCCGTGTCGCCCGGCAAGAACCATTCAGTTGCCGTTTTTGTGCCGGAGCGCAAGGTAATACAAGATAGTTTCTGGACGTAGAAAGCCCGCGCTGATCATCACCAGGGTATGCCCGCTGCGGTCAAGGTCTTCCAAGTCCCCCAATTTACCCAACCCGTATCGCAGAAGACTTTCTTCAAGGGTGACAAAGTCCAATTGAAGTGGAACGAGCTGGGTACCAGCTTGCTGGTTTTGGCCCAAACAGAGGTGGACAAGTCGAACAAGAGTTACTATGGCGAGACGAACATGTACATTCTCAGTGCCAATGGCTCCTTCGATTCGCGTATCCAGCTTGACAAGGAGGGGCCCATACACGACGTCTCCTGGTCACCCAACTCGAAAGAGTTTGGCGTTACCTATGGATACATGCCCGCAAAAACCACCATTTTTAATCAGCGCGCCGTTCCTCAACACAGCTTTGATCTGGGCCCGCGCAACACCATCATTTTCTCGCCCCACGGACGCTTCGTCATCGTCGCTGGATTCGGTAATCTGGCTGGCGACATGGACATTTACGATCTTGAAAAGAACTTTGCCAAGGTGTGCACCATCAAGGCTTCCAACTGCACCTACTGCGAGTGGAGCCCGGATGGCCAGCATATTCTTACGGCCATTACTAGCCCACGTCTTCGTGTGGACAACGGAGTTCGCATCTACCACGTTAGCGGCGGTCTGATGTACCACGAGGAGATGACTGAATTGTACCATGTCACCTGGCGGCCACAGCCTACATCAACACACCCCTTGGATAGTCCTCTGACCAAGGTGCCAACTCCCCATCCATCGGCGTCCAAGTTCTTGAGCACGCAGAAGACACCGGCAAAACCGGCCGGAGCCTACCGTCCTCCAGGTGCGCGTGGAACAAGCACTCCTTTGCTCTTCAAGCGGGAGGATGAGGGAGGTGCGGCCTATACCAACACAGGTATATCTTCCACCAAAGTCGGCTTTGCGAATGGATTTGGAAAGCCACGTCGTCGCGAAGTGCCAGGCGCGGAGCCTGTGGAAGCCCTCCCACCTGGCGCAGCCCCTGGTGGTGGTGTCAGCCTAACGGGTGCCGTAGATGGTGATGGTGAATTGTCAAAGGCAGCTTTGAAGAACAAGAAGAAGCGGGAGGCAAAGAAAGCACGCGAGGCCGCTGACAAGGCCGCTGGCCTTACTGCTGATGGCGCCAACGCACCCACATCTGGCAGAAGCCCAGAGCGTCGCAATGAGCGTGGCCAGCAGCGGAGCCGTAGCAAGAGTGGAGCCGACGGGTATGGACAACAGCACGTGAGGAGCGCTAGTCACCAGCGCGGCTACGGTAATAGCCCGAACCGCCAGTCTGGACCTAGACAGGATGGGGGCCACCGACAGAATCTTGGTCAGCAGCATCACGAACGAGCGAGGTCTGGCCAGCATGGTCAGGGTCCCCCGGCTCTACAAACGGAAAATCAGGGCCCTACGCCTGATCTTACAGTCACCAGCCCTAGCGATGGCAATCCTCATGACAAGAAGATCCGTGGTCTACTTAAGAAGATGCGTGCCATTGAGGAGCTCAAGATGAGGCAAGCTGGCGGCGAGAAGCTGGAAGACACTCAGATTAAGAAGATTGGCACTGAGCATCATATTAAGAAGGAGCTTGATGCCTTGGGCTTCACCGGGTAGGATGTGGCTTTGACCATTCTGAAAGATGTTCGGCATTCGAGATGGGTTACTATTGCCATTTGTCAAGATGTAACGGACGCTATGCTTGATGCCACATAACTGAACGGAACACGATGGGTAAATTGGATGCAAAGTGTCCCGTCATAGTGGCTATCAGTCACTACCACCTAGAATCATAAAATCATTCTTCTCGCAAACAATAATGCTATGCCTAATCTCTTGTGACTGAATTTTCTCTACAAATATGTGCCTCTGAAGTTTTGTACTTGGTACTGGTGCCTGAAGATGGCTCGGGTAGCCATCAACAATCACTACCAGAACTATGTACAGCTCTGTTTAACAAAGATGGAGAACTAGATTACTACTCGGTCTTTGGAATATGGAGTTCCAACTCTGCAAGACGCCTCCTCTCCCGCCCCGCCCCGCCACCACCGAGTCAGCCCTAACCTGATACGATTCCGCAACCCGGTATATAGTGTGTGGAGACAATTGAGCTTGATGATCCTCCTGGATGCTTTTCATGGGCTGATGGATTGGCTGGGTTTCATTTGCTCATGTTGATTCGCTTTTTTTTCTTCTGTCTGTGGATGGAGGTAGCTTGGCCTCGGGTATTGTAGGTGAATGTTTGTGCTGTGGACAAAGTACGCCGATAATATATATGGTACTTGTATGAGACCGTAGCGATCCAAGCGGACCCCACATGTGATCGACAAGGCATTTGTGGGCTGGATGTGCGTGTAGCCATGATTAAAGTTTGTCGGCGTATACGCGGCGCATCTACATAGGGAGGTAAATTAGTTCATGAACCGCAACCGCGCTCGCACACGCTTACATGTTTGTTTAGTATTTTTCTTCTTACCGGCGTTGTTGACCTCGATATCGACGATTCTGAGACTGAGTGTTAATCTGAGGTTATTGGGATATCAACTTATATCTACACAACACAATAATATAAGGAAAAACATCTTATACACACACACACACACTTCTTGCCCCCCAACCCCCTACGGTAACCACCATGTCCGCCCTGTGGAATTGGCTCTTCAGCAAACAAGTCGCACCTGCACGCGTCCCGACCGATACCGTAATCCCGTTGTTTCGCCTCGACGATACTCTGGCGAATCGCAGTCTGGCGTTTGACTATACCATGCAGTTTGAAGAGGTGCTGGATGCGGAGAAGCTGGCGGGTGCGCTGTGGAGGTTGATTGAGCGGCCGGGGTGGAGGAAACTGGGGGCGCGGTTGAGGGTAAATGTATAGATGTGTTGATTTCCTTGTTCTTTTTTACATTCTTGTCCCTTGCTCTTTTCTTGGGGGGATGATGTGGGTGATATCAAAACCATGCCAACAAGATGATGAAATGGATAAAACCCAAACTAACCCACCCCCCAAACCCACAGGACAAAAACGCCCTCGAATACCACATCCCAACCCACTACACCCCCTCACGCCCACCCCTCGTCTTCACAAAATCCCACCACCCTTGCCCCCTCTCCCAACATCCCCTACACAGCCGCCTCCCCCGCTCAAACAACACGCTGCGCAGCTTCGACACCACCGTGCCCCTGCGCGAGGCCCTCGAACTGCATGGCCACCCGCGCTACCTGGCCGATTGGCTGTACGCCGATGTCCCGCAGCTGGGGCTGCATGTGGTGAATTTTGAGGATGCGACGTTTGTGACGCTGGTGTGGGGGCATACGCTGTTGGATGCCATGGGGAGGCGTGTGTTGCTTGAGGCGTGGGTGGCGGTGTTGGAGGGGAGGGAGGGGGATGTGCCGGGGTTTGTGGGGTGGGATGTTGATCCGCTGGAGGGGCTTGGTGTTGAGCCTGGTGTTGAGCCTGGTGCTGGTGCTGGTGCTTCTCCTGCTGTGGTATCCAAGTCAAGTGTGCAGGAAAAGGAACCGGGACCGACAGAAGCACAACCCGCAATCGAGCTCGAGGACTTTGTCCTCAAAGACGACTTACTCACCGGCTGGGCCAAATTCCGCTTCATCTTCAACTTCCTCTGGGAAGCCATCTTCCACCCCTCGGAATCCACACGTACAATCTGCATCCCAGCCCTCTACTTCTCCAAACTCCGTCACAAAGCCTTCGCCGACCTAGCCAGCGCGCCACCCAACCTCCTCACCTACAACACCAAATCCCCCACCACCAACACCAACCCGACCCCCTTCCTCACAGACGCCGACATCCTCCTAGCCTGGACCCTCCGCCTCCTGACAACCAGCAACCCAACCCTACACCCCAACCCCCTCCTAACCCTCAACATCCTCAACCTCCGCCCCCTCCTCTCCACCCCATCCCCACCCCACCCGCCCCTCCTCCCACCCAGCCCCCAACACGCCTACCTCCACAACTGCCTGGGCGTCGCATACACGCTCTTCCCGCGCGCCGGCGCCCTGCTCGCCCAACCCCTCGGCCACACCGCCGCCCAGCTGCGCAGGGACCTGGTGGTGCAGCGCACACGCGCGCAGGTTGAAGCGTGGCAGCGGCTTGCGCGGCGGAATGTGCATTTGCTGTTTGGAAGCGCGGGGATGGGTATTTCGGCGTTTTCGAATTGGAGTCGGGCGAGGCTGTATGAGGTGGATTTTAGGGCTGCGGTTGTTGGGGGGCAGGGGGTGGGGGTGGAGGGGGATGGGATGGTAGTGCAGGATGGTGGAGATGGGTGGAATGTTGAGAGCAGTTCTACTACGAGTTGGAGGAAGCCAGCCAGACCGATATTAATCCGACCTGATGGCACAGCTAGCAAGGGCTTCATCCTGCGTGGCTCTGGGAACTGCATCGGCGTTGATCATAATGGCGATGTCTGGATTACTGTCATGCTGCGGACGGAGTTTGCGCGTCGTCTGGATAAGGAGATTGAGGCGTTGAGGGGGGCGGATTGGGTTTAAGAATGCAGGGGGAGAGGTGATGACGTAAAAAAGGTGTGCATATACAAACCTACACGGTACACATGCACATGAATCACACAATCCACAAAGTACATCAAATCCCATCCTTCCAAACTACCTAAAACCCCGCTATTCAAAACCACCCCCCCATCCTTTTCGCACATTGACTGACACAAAGGCAAGCCAAGGCCAGGCAGGGCGGATTAGAAAAAGAAGTAGAAAAAAAAAAGAAGAAAGTTAGAAAAGAAACGACAACCAGATGTCCAAACCACACAATTCAAAGAACGTGGAGAAGAAGAAGAAGAAGAAGAAGAAGAAGAAAAAAAGTTTTTCCCAAACTCCACCATTGAAAATGCAGACACACACGCTCTCCTTTTTCCCCTTTTCGACACCTGGATAGCTGGGATGCGTGCATCACGGACTCGTACCGTCCGTCTCAAAGCCCAGTCTGACATTGCCAATAGGAATGACTACGATGGCCGGGAACGAATTCACACGAAGCCAGCCATCCATCCATCTACGCCCTCGTCAGCAAAAAACACAGAACCCATCCATCATCACCATCCCCAAGGAGCCAAAAAAAAAAGCAACTCACCCAGCCCCTCTGCACCTGCTTTCCTACATGCCCGTCCTAGGCGTCGGCATCGCATACTCGCTCTTCACACTGCTAGACACGAGCGCCAAACTACTCGTCGCAGGCACACTAGTTTCAAACGATGTGTGCGCAACGCTGGACGCGGCAGTACTCGTGGGGACGTCGAAGCTAAAGCTCGTAGCGTCGGTGAAGGTGTTGCTAGTGGAGGGGAGAGGGGTGGCACTGTATTCCGACGAGGATAGGGCGGGTGTGGATATGGAGAGGGAGAGGGAGATTGGAATGGAGATTGAGGGTGTAGGGCCGGGAATATCAAAGGATGTCTGTGTAGCATCTGTGCCTGTGAAGGTGGAAGATGGGGAGATGGAGCTAGATGGGGAGATGGAGCTAGATGGGGAGATGGAGCTAGATGGGAAGATGGAGGTCGAGGTGGAAGGTTTGGGTGTACCGGTAGAGCTTGGAGAGCCGAGTGCGCTGCTGCTGCTGCTGCTGCTGCTGCTGCTACTAATTCCCTCCACCGAAGAAGTCACAGATGAGCTCGCAACCACACTCGAAACACTCGATACATGCGACGACGTAGTCGACACCGTCGTCGAAGTCCTCCATCGACTAGGCGTATAGATCGAATGCGTCCGCGTGTGCGTCTTGCTGCGGCGCGAAGTCGACGTCGGTGAGTGCGAAAACCCCGGAGTCTTGCTGGTGCGGGTAGAGGTGGTATGAGCTAGGCTAGTAGGCGTTGGGGTCTCGCTGGAGGGGCTTGAGGGGAGGCTATTACTGCTACTACTGGCTGTAGACGCCTCGCTACTGGGACCAGGAGTAGATGTGGCCGTGGAGGAAAAGAGAGACCAAGGGATCGTGGAGATGTGGTATGTAAAGGACGAGGAGGAGGAGGTAGCAAGACTAGATGTATAGTTTACCGAAGATGGCGCAGGCGGTGGTGCGTAGCCAGACGTCTTCAAGGTAGCAGAGGAAGTCACACTCCCACCCTCAGTCCCAGTAGACAAAACCGCAGAGGATGTCACACTCCCAAAAGTACCCGTAGACAAGCCATCCGACCCCGTAGCCGTAGTACTATTCGCCGGATAAGGCGGCGTAGCAGTCGTAGCAGTCGTACCAGGCACACTTGTAAAGACAAAGCTACTCGTAGAAACAAAGCTACTCATAGAAACAAGAGTACTCGTATTAAACCCCGGAAGGCCCGAAGACGACAACGGCGGCGGAGGCCTATAGCTCACTCCCGACGTGGTATTGGGATACAAGACAGACGAAGACACGGGCAAGGACGGACCGCATCCTGTGCCTGTGGAGGAGATACCCGTGGTGAGGGAGATAAAGGTGGATGAGGAGGTGGCAACGTCCCAGCTGGACTGCGTGGCATCGGTGAAGGTGGTGAAAGTAGACTTGCCAGAGGTGGATCTGGTGGGTGTTAGTCTGGGAAAAGTCTGGTGTGCTGATGGATATGATAACAAGGGAGTTGGGTAAACGTACTTTGCAGTTGAAGTGACTTTTTCGCTGCTCGAGCCCGGTTTGGGCAGCGTGACAGTGATGATGCTGGTTACGAAAGTGGTGCTGTAGGTTTTGGTGCTGAGTGCGGGTGATGTCGAGGGCGATGGAGTTTCACTGGATGCTACGCCTGTGGAGAGAGAGACGCTGGTTGAATGGGATGTCCCGGTAGCAGACTCTGTCGACTGAGACCAGGTCACGCTGTCACTCAAGGTGCTGGTTGCCGGGCCTGGTGGTGGGCTGTAAGGCGGAGGTGGTGGAGGAACATATTGTCGAGGCTGAAAGGGCACTCGTGGGCGAACTGGGTACGCTTTTGTAAGCAAAGTCTATCAAGATGATGTTTCTGAGATTGCAACCGCAGATATCACAGTTGAGCACTGGGGTAATGGTCTGCTGTGTAGAGACCAGCTGAAAACTTACCTGGTGTATGCTGAGCAGCAGCGAGCGTGAGGAATGCCGCAAGGGAGAGGTGAGATTGCAGCTTCATAGTTGGACTCGATTGATAGGTGTTCTTCAACGACTGGAGGTGATGTGCAAAGAAACGAGTGTAACGAGTAAAGAGAGGAGATGTCAAGACAAGGACACAACTGAATCGCTTGAAACTTGATCTAGCATGACTCTACACTTTTATATGTCGCGGACAAGTTGGTGATCTCCTACAAAGCACATATCCTTGCAGCGTCCGTCCACTGTACACCTACATGTTCGATGGGACCAGACACGGGTATGCAGTCCGGCATCGTACTTCCTACGGACGGCCTACTGTGAGCCCGCTCCTCTGGAACAGCAGCTGTACGGCTGATGTGGACATGTATATTCAATAGTCTTCGTGCGTGTACTATTGCCGACCTTTGTTTGCAATGCCAATGCAATTGCTTGTCGCCACTGACTAGAATGCTGTTGGTTGCCTATTGGCCAGAATTGACAGGATATACCTAGGCACTACTCGTGTTGAAAACCTCAACATCTCGCCATCTATATGAAGGATGTAACAAATCGCCTCTTCAAGACAGTTGGGCGGGAGGGCAAGTGCGGGTTTCGAGATGGCATGCGGCTAACAGTGTCACAAAACACCGTTTGTCGACGCCACTCGTGGTGCAGGTGGAGATGGATAAAGGACAGCCTGAATGAAGATTGAACAAGATACTCTGGAGTGACGTGACATGGTCTCGTTGAATCTCCAACAACAGACCCAGTCACTGCTCTGGGCAAGGTACTGTTGCGAGCGAACAAAGTAGAGTCGCTCAAGTCCTCAGTGGCTTACTTAGAGTCGTTAGATGCAAATGGCACTCGAGACCCGGGTACACCAGAGATGGTGTTACAAATGTACGTATATCGACTAACAAATTAACCTGACAGACGCCTCTCCATGTCGCTGTCCACCGAAGTCGTGATTCCTCAGGTTGGGAGAGGCTTTTAAGACGATTGCTTGCCATGTTGTATCACTTGTCACCGATGCTTGTCATCTCGAGAGCACCCCGACCTGTAACTGCACTCTGCCATGGACTTTCAAGGTAAGTCGTGGAAGTAGGCTTACAGTAGTGTGATGCGCCGCATGTCCAAGAAATGGTGTGGATTTGCAGGAACGGAGCGAACCGTAGACTTGCAGGCAAGCCCACGGGCCCTTTCGCAGCCACACACATTGGGAGTGTGGTTCCCAGGCGCTCTCTTCTTTGGAACAAGCGCGAGAGTAATCGCACTTTAATTCCTGTTCCAACCCCGGAGCCACAGCTCCACCAAAACCGTATCCTCGCTCTTCAAGGGGCCATTTAGCAAAGCATCTCGGCCTCCAAAGACCACGAACATTTGAGCTCAAAATCTGCTACCGGTCGTACGACGCCGGTTGATCATCACAAAGACGGAAAGGGTTATGGGAGGCCGCTAGATCGACCGCCGTCCCCGGCTGGTTGGGATAAGCACAAAGCCAAAGAGCCATCAAATGGGAGGTGTGCCGGTGCTAATAACCGGCGGATGACGGATGGATGCGGAGGGTTCGCCTGTGCGATCGAGAAACGGATTACGAATGGAGTGGGCAGCAAGAAAGGCGAACATCCAAAGTGACGCAGGTGGAGGCGCTAATCCAGATACGGCCTAGCTCCAGGACAGGTGTGTGACTTTGCATTCGTGATTGCCCACGGGTGTCGTTGAACGTATTTGAAAGCCAATTATTGGCTTGTTTAGGGACTTGCGACCCATTTTGAACAAGCGGGAGTTACTCGCACTGATAGTTCCTCGAAACAGCTATCAGGCAAGCTTGGTCTGAGCTGGACTAGGTGACCAAGTATGTCTCTGGTCGGGAATCCCAACCATGAAGCCCTACCGAATTGACTTTTGCGGACCGCCCGAGGTCGGAGGCCATTGCAGGGTCGACTATCTGATGGTGTTTACCCTATTAGGACATATTTGGGAGCGGGGGGTAAAGGAAGGGGGAACGGTTGCATCTCGACGTTAGACTGTACCAAAGGAAACCTGTCCGTAGTGCACAAGGGAAAGTCGAGCGATGACTATAGTTGGCAGAAGCGACATGATTGGTTGAACTCCGACGGTACAAAGAGTATAGGTGCACTGAAACTTGACTCGAGTCCCCGAAGGTAGCCATGCCACAAACGCGCACATTGTGATGTGAAATGAATGCATTGGTTTATGATACCGACAGCCGTCACTTTTACAAGCGCATGTTGGATTCAAGAGATTCAAATGTAAGAAGAATTCCAGCAGAAACTGGCTGCGACGATTACGTATTATACAAGAACAACCGACTCCTGTTAATCGCTGGGAGTGGGGAAGTCGCCCTCAAGAGGCGATTCAAGGCGCCAATACATGGATATCGCTGTATATCCAGATTCCCCGGAAACGTTTTTCGTACCTGCGCCTAAACTCCCTCAAAGTCCAACTCGTATAGTCGTGAAGAAAACGACTGGGTAATCATGAGCACAGCTCCCAGATACAGACCCAATGGGCCATTGAAACAACAACGATACAAGGTTAAGAAAAGACGACGTCGAAGATTTTAGGACCAAAAGCGCTTGCGCCTGAAAACTGGGGACCAGTACGCTTTCAACACTTGTCCCAGTCGACAAAGTTGTTGCCATCGAGTTGGTCGGTACCAGCATGGTCATCCCCATTGTAGCTGCTGTCGCCAGTTGTGAAATCGAAAAAGGCATTATAATCGCCATTACCGGGTGTGAGGAAAGAATCGGTGTTGTAAAAACCCGCCGAGATGGAAGTCAAATCAGACGGAACTGTGTCGGCCTCATTCTCAAGCTTGAGGCTTAGGTCGGGAGAGAGAGTCTGGGCGGATCCTGCAGGCTGCTCCAAATTGGCCATTGAAGATGCGATACGGGTTTTGGGGTTAGGATTGTATGTGTAGGTAGGAGCAAAGGGCTGGGGAAGGCTGTCGCTGCCAGACATGAAAAGAGCGGTGCGAGGATCATCGGGGTCCATGGCTGAACCAATAAACTGTTGAGTCTCTGGTGGCATGGACATGGTCAAAGGATTTGAATTCAGCACCTGAGAGCTGTAAGGATAGTTGACTGGACTGAATGTCATCGAATTTGGCGTGCCAGCCTCAGTTGACGCGAGTGGAGACTGATGGACAGAACCGTCATTGGACGATGCAACCTGGGGTGATGCCGACAATTGGTGCAAAACAGGCGATTGCGACTGTGATAGCGCAAGCTGCTGGGGCTTCACATCGACTGGAGTGTTCGCCTGCTGTTGGAATGCGTGAGGTGGCAGCGACATCCTACGGGTTGTCTCTCCTTGTGGAGTAGTAGCAGCACTATTGACTTGGGGACTAACAGCTTCGAAGTTGGCCGTAGACGGCATTTGAATCGAAAGCGAACGTTGATGGGAGTGGGTGCGCTGCGGAATGTAGTAGGGAGACTGTCGGAACCCTTGCGGTGCGCCAGGACTGGAGGGAAAGTGCTGCGTCTGTTGAATTCCTTGTGGATTCGATGGGTTAAACATCTGCTGGGGCGGCAGCATGGATGGATTGAGCCAATTGTTCGCTTGAGCCTGGGGCATGGGGCCGGCACTTGGACCAGCAGCTTGCTGGTAGGGCGGAGTTTGGTACTGCGACATGAACATGTTCCTTACGCCATGCTGAGTGGCAATGTAATCGTGCAGCTTCTTGTTAAACATGACCGAAGTCGTGTGCAAGTGGGCATTGAGTCGCTGATACTGGGTAGGCAAATCATCGTCCTCTTCCTCGTACATTTCTTCGTTGATGACATCCTGCTCCGTTACGCGTAAGCCACGACCAGTGCGTCGCTTATGAATCTCCGATGCTCGACGCGCCGACTCAATGCGGGCTTCAAGACTGCGGTCACTGCGGCGCGAGGCGGCAATGTAAGCTCTGTGGAACCCAAACCCATCAGCCAACCGGGTCATGAGAAGGAAGAAGAGAACAAGCGCAAAAGGGGGAGCACGAACCGTTCTTGATTCTCTTCATGGGTACGCTCAGTCTTGACGGGCTTGTTGAGCTGGAACTGGCGACGTTCGGCGGGCATGGTGGAAGCGAGAGGGTTGGGGCAACACGTTCCTCAGCTGTATGGTGCGTCCGTGGGTGTTGGGTGGGCGACGGAGTGGGGTGGGGTAACTCCCTGATAGCTGATAGGCGGTATGCGATGTGGGTGCGTAAGCTTCTTCTCACGGACACAGAACGATATGTCGTCTAGCAACGACTTCGACTGCGGGGAAAATGGGAGGGAGAGATGGGTATGGAAAGAAGGGAAGATTGGGGAGGATGGAAGGAAAGGCGGGCGGGCACAGCACAAGTACTAAGGAACGGCTGAGGGGAAAAGTGGCGACTGTGCACGCAGATGCGAGATGTCAAGGGCGGCGGAACAGAGCCTAGAGATGGGCCGAGAGTCTTGACGGAGCTAATGAGGGTGGAGGCATAGCGCGATCATGGCAGGGGGAGGGCGGCCAGGGCCCAGCATCGGGCTAGGAAGATGCAGATGGCTAGATACGCGACCGGGTGACGTGAGGAACAGGCGAAGGGGGCGTCCGATGCAGAGTGAGATGGATGCCAGATGCGGTGCACGGAACGGAGGACAAGGCCGGGCTGATTCAGTGGCGCCGCGGGCAGAGAAGAAGGAGGAGGAGAAGAAGAAGAAGAAGAAGAAGAAGAAGAAGAAAAGATGGGGTTGGTTGATGAGTAATCAAAGAAGAACTGGGTTGCAGGGTACTTTGTAGTGAGAGTAGAGGGGAATAGTGCTTGGGCGGGAAAGTCGGGCATCGAGCCTGTGAGGGGGTGAAGAAAGTACATTAGTGATGGGAGGAAGTGGGAGAGATGGGAGACGGGGAGGAGAGAGAGGACAGTTTTGGAAGTTGGTTTGCTGTGAGTTGTGGCTTTTCTTGTGCTTGCTGGTAGGTAGGGTAGGTGGTAGAGTAGGGTTGGGTAGATTGGGTAGTCGGGACTCTATCTCGATCGCATGCTCGCATCAAACGTGGTCGCGGCAACCAACTCCATTCGCGGGTGTGGGCGATGATGGGAAGGGGGGTCGGGATGGACGGGGGGGAATGGACAGGACAAGGACAGGACAAGGACAAGGACAGGACAAGGACAAGGACAGGACAAGGACAAGGACAAGGACAGGACAGGACAGGGTGGGATGTGTGTGGAGGATGAGAAGTGGGCTTTTAGTTGACCTCGGCAGCTGCTTGATCGGGCTAGCCCCAGCGCTACTCGATGGGCTCAGATCCATGGCGGCCCCCTCAGTCTAGTAGGTACGGTGGAGGTACTACGACATCCTACTGCTAGGAGTACTACAGTGTCTGACTGTTTTTTCGTCGTGGGCCAGCAAGCATGGCCTTGGACCTACCTTGGCTCGGACACGGGGAGCGCTAAGATCTCGTGGCACACTGTTCCCTCGATTAACGAGACATGTGGTACTAGGTCGGCTGCCCATGTACGAAAACCGAACGGCAGTGGAACCCACTTGGGTCGAGCGAACAGCATTGGCAATGGCATGGCAAAGGGACAACGTTACATACAGGCTTGGTGACTCAAGCTGAGGGAGCGTGTAGAGTAGAGTACCGTACTCTGTTCTCACTGTTCTGCGCCAGCCGGTGGATACGGTACCTAGGCCTCTTCCGCAGACTCAGGCAACCAATGACTGGCTATTGGATGGGCGCTATACGGTGCACTGCTGCTATACAGGTGATGCTTTTACTCTAGAGTACCTATCCTATGTACTCTACTCGAGGGCTACTCACCAGGTACCCATCCTACCTACCCTATCATCACTTTATCCGGCCAACAGGACCAAAGCACATGCATGCACGTCGCAACCCTTGACACTACTAGAGTATAGATGAATTGACTGTGACGGGCCATTGTGCAGCAAGTGTGCCATGCTGGCCGATCTGTCCACGGCAACGGGACTTCACTTGGGCAGGACAGGGAAGCCCATGAACGGCCATGGACGTCTCAGATACGCGAGCTTTTCCTTTTGGCCTAGCGCCGATTCCATCGAAGCGCTTCTGCTGCCCTCCCCATCGACCCGCTCTCCCCCAAGCTCTTGTCCTCTGCCTCGCCTGAAATTGGCACCAGCCTCTCATTCTACACTACTCTAGGCAGAGAAGATCAGTAGGCAGAGCATGGTAAGCAGGAGTCCCACTCGCCGACCAGAACGTGGGCTCTCCAGTGCAATTGTTTATCACTAGGTAGGTAGGTAGGTAGGTAGGCAATTGAGCCTACACTGCCAACTACAACCATCGACCATGACGATGCCCAACCATCGAATCCACAGCGAACCGGCAACAACGCTGGCCAGCTGGCCGACGGCTCGCAGGCATGGAAGCTGGAAGCTGGTTGCGTGCACAGCGTATAGCTCCCTTGTCTTGCGCTGGATGGATACGGCCACGGGAATTTCATCTCACAGCCCGGTCGCGCCAACTGAGGATTTGTCACCGACACCCTTTTTTCGTGTTGCGCTGCTAGCGTCCACCGACGTCACACAGACACACTGCTCCCTCTCCCCATCTGGCCCATGTCATGTACTCCTTAGTGTAAAGTACCATTGTACTCTATTTCACTGTGCGCCTACCATCTCACTCCCCCCCTTCTAGAGTAGTACTCTACTCTACCCTCCGTTCGCCGGCTGCTGCGCCCCACCGTCCAAGGGCTACCGCTTTTCATCCCAGATCGCCGGGCCCGTTCACTGGTCGGCTTGTCAGTCCTTCAATCCTTCACTCTTGTACTAGAGTAGAGTAGGTCTCGTTCTTAGACCAATCCATTCACGTCAGCCTGATGCTTTCTTCTCCACCCGCACACGACTCGGCTCTTGGACCCTCCGGCAACGTTAGCACAACCCTGTACCACAAAACCATCTCCAGTCTTGTTCCCGTGCCGCCACTCATGGCGACTCTGCTCAAAGCGTTCGGAGCAATGCAAATACCCTCCATCCGCCAGCTCATCCAAACACTTGGTCCACCTACCGACATGAGCGGCTTGCGTCACACTTGCTCAAAGCCTAATCTGCTCATGCAATCCAGCAAGCCTTGGGGCTTTTGTCAGGGTCCACTCTGCCTGCACTCACTTACCTAGCATCGCTACACCACGCTTTGTACCACCTGCCGTGGATTCGACGCCAGTTCAGATTGGCTGCAACACCCCGACCCATGTGGCAGGCTAGAGTACAGTAGATGGGAGCATGCAGATGATTCTGGGCATTGTAAGGTGCATCATCTTGCTTCACTGGTGAGATCGCGATCAAGGCTGAGGCAAGGTTAGGTACCTCGCACAGTCTCACCATCGCCTATGACTCGAGGCTCTCGAGTCCTTTTCGTTTGCATTCTACCACCGTAACGTGTGGAGTGTAATGGAGTGTGGAGGAAGACACCCACCTCCCTATGCATGCCCATGCTCATCCACTTCGCTTACTCCACACCGAGTACTTGTTCCAGCATCCACTGTAATACCACACGTCGTACACGATCCGCCTTGATCCAATACCTACTACACACTCCACTCCACTGTAATACCACACGTCGTACACGATCCGCCTTGATCCAATACTTACTACACACTCCACTCCACTGTAATACCACACGTCGTACACGATCCGCCTTGATCCAATACCTACTACACACTCCACTCCACTGTAATACCACACGTCGTACACGATCCGCCTTGATCCAATACCTACTTACTACACACTCGACTCCACACCTCCCACACACACCCTTTGAGCCTCCCGCAGCCCCCCCTCCACCCACACCGTGCAACTCCACCTCAACACCTCCCACACACCCCATACACCCGCCCACCCCAACCCCAGCAAACGCCCCCCGAACAAACTTGTCCCCATAACCCTGTCCTGTCCAACATCCCACCCCCACCAAGACCCCCGATTCGCTCAGCTTACCCCATGTGGACACCTGGCCCAACAAAGCCCCAGTCCCCCACGGCTTTTGCATTTTGAAAGATTCCCATGGGTCCTGTTTTGGGCTTATTCGTACTCTAGTTTTTTTTGGGGGGATTTGTTTTTGTTTTTCAGGAATGCATGGGTTGTGCGCGTGGGTGATTGATTTATCGTGGGATGGTGAGGAGGAGGAGGAGGAGGAGGAGGAGGAGGATGCGACACTCGGCCTTTGGGGGTGGGCGGGGATACGTCTCCGTGCCAATTACCTTGGATGGGTTCTCGTGCGAGTATCCAAATTGACTGATGCAGTGGTTTGTGAAAGTAGCCGACGCTTAGACGGGGCTTGGGTTATACGGGAGGAGGATTGGGAATGCGGGAGAAGTGACTGGGGTTGATGTCGGGGAGGAGGTGTGAGGCTGCGAGAATGTGTAGGTAGGTGTGTAGGTAATAGATGTAGTACTTGGTCAGTCAGTCATACTTGTAAGTAGTCATTCGTGTATTGTACATGAAATCATTTCCTATCCTAGCGTTACCATATGCATACCATATGCTAGCCATTCCCCGTCTTGCACAGCACAAGCATAACCACTACACGCTCGCCTTGCCTGGGATACCCTTCCAGCCTGCCAACATGCCTCTCAACTCGGCCTCCTCCTTGCCCAGAACAGGGAAGCCCCGATCTATACACGCCCTTTCGACCTCTTCTTTATTCAAAGCAGGCCAGCCCCCATCCCGAGCAATCAACCCATCATCCGTCCTCAGGTACTGCATTTTCCGGTCCACACCAAGCGCAAGCACCCACTGCGGCGGCCCAAACACCCAATCCCAAACCCTCGCGTGGCAATCAAACAGCGCCGACATGCGCTCCCATTTGATGGACGCTTCCCGCGCCATAGTCATGTGCTTTCCAGAAGAAAGCAGACGCTGATACTTGAGCTCCACGACCCGGAGCCTCTGCTCCCTACGCTTCTCAATCGCCTTGCGAGTCCGCAACACCTGCTGCGGAATCCGACACGCCTCTGGAACCAGCGGGGTCATGTAAATCACCAAGACGGGCAACCACTCGCCCAGGAAGAATAACAGCACGCCAAACGCAGGCAGCCGCAGTCGATCCCGTCCACTGCGTCGCAGGACCTGCCACTCGGCGCGCGACAATACCTTCGTGCTCGGTTCGTTGGCGTGCTGTTTGGCCGCTTCCGCGACTTTTTTGCGCAGTGTTTTGGCATACCGTAGCGTTTGGCGCACATGGGAGACGCCGGTCTTGTAAAAGGAGAGGTAGGCGCGGGCGACGCTGTAGTAGTATTTGAATGTGCCTTGGTCTGGCTTGCGCGCGGGGACGTCGATGGGTGGGGCGTAGGTGAAGTCTGGGGGGTTGACACGCTCCTTTGCCTCCTGAAAGGCTATGCTTGTGGTTCTCCAGGGTCGGACATTTGCGGCGTTGGGTTTCGGTGTATGTGATTTCGAGGGGGTAGAACGATTTGTAGAGGATGGTGAAGGAGTACGCGCATCCGGTTTGCGTTTCTGCGATGATGCTGTCTTTGTGGAGGCATGGCGGTACGTTGTGGCATTGAGCGAGTTATACGCCTGACATGTGCGCCGCGAAGTATCGTGCCATTTATGGCAGCTCAGTGCGGAAGCGAGAGCTCTCGAGTGCATGTTCCTTAGACGCTGATGCTTTGTAAATAGAGCAATTGGCCGCCCGCGCGAGACCCATGTCGATATTATGGGCCGTGGCTTCATTGCTGTGTATGCGGAGAGCGTCCACAGGCGCGTTCAGAGGAAGAAGTGGATTTCTCAAACGCATTGAGATTTGGTGACGTTGCGATTCGCGCGCGCGAGTGAGAGACGGACCGAAGATAATCCTTGTTAGTATTACACGCGGTGCCTCGTGAACACGCTAGGCCTTTTCTGAGCACCATGCTACTTCACATGTCCGTCGAAGCCCGTCAAATCAGGCACATATTGTAGTCAACTTGTAGTCACCAATGTCTAAGCGCGGGTGTTTTGATCTAAAAATGGGGGTTATGTAGCCTTTTGTTAATCCCTATCTAATACTCTGCTCCTGGAAAAATCAGTTCTTATCTTACTCAATGCATGGATACCAAGACACAATGACGCTGCTTCGAGATACACAAATTGCTCATAACACGCTGATAGTATATCGGAGAAACACCAATCACATGCAAGACCCAAAATGAGTGTTTTACACCCGGTAACGCCTTGCCAAAACATATAGTGGAACAAAAGCGAAAGCCAAGGTGCTGGTCGATCACACAGGGCCAGGCAGGTCGAACGTCCGTCTGAAAATCGAAAAGCAACGTGAACGTTCTGTGTTCATACCTTGGTAATCACACACTAGAAAGGAAGTGTTGGTATGTAATGGGGCCGTAAGAAAATGTCGTCAGCCGATGATCAAGTGGCAACGTCGATACATGTTCCATGTGGTGAACGGCGGACGGAGAGCGGTAGAAAGTGCTGGTTAATTTGAAATTGGAAGCTATATGCGGGTTCGTGTAGCATGATTTGGCGGGGACTACATTTGTGATCCTGGCTTGGCTAGAATGGCAGGGAGCAGCATGTCTGGCCATCCTTGGGGGATGCAAGCTTAGTGCTCGAGGCCGGTGTTGATCTTACAATGCCACGTACAATCGTGCTGAAGAGGTCATGATGATGAGGATCTGGATGTTCGCGGATCAGTTCGCAGAGTTCGAACATGGCAATCAGAGCCAACGCCCGTGCTCCAGGTTAGTGGGTATAGTAACAGGAGAAGACATCAGCGCTGATATTGTGCGAGTTGAGCCATGATCTCACTCATGTCAGTACCACTTGGCTGGGCAGGTGTCTGTACGGGCGGGGCACTCTGTTGTCCCTGAGTTGCAAATAAGGAAGCCAGGGCTGGGAATTGGGTACCCAAATGTGCCAGTTGTGGTTGGGTATGGCCGCTAAATCCAGGAGTTTGAGCCGGACTAGGTACTTGGGCAAGCAGACGAGCAAGGTCAGCATTGAAGCCGGGGTTAGGCGCCGGTTGTGAGTTCTGGGAAACATTATTGCCAGACATGGCGCCTAGTAATTGGGACAGACTGGCACCATCGAGTGAAGCGATCAAGTTCGAGATATTGGGTTGGCTAGTCGGACCTGGAGGGAAGTTTGGGGGAGGCTGAGTGAAAGGTAGGCCTTGGTTGAAACCAAAAGAGGGTGTAGGCGGCTGTACTGGTTGGGACTGGCTCTGTTTGGCATTATTCACGAGTAGACCGGCAGTTGTCGGGTCTAGATCAGCGTATTCTAAATTTGTTAGGGCATGATTGCAGCAGTGACACTGGCTGTACGTACCATTGAACTGAACATTATTAGCACCGCTACGTCGGTCGAATATTTGAACGCTGAGCTTGCCCTTGGCAAGACCAGTAGTGTCGAGTCTCACAATGGCCAGCACACCCTCCAAGATCTGCCTACGAACTACGGCCGGCTCTGGAAATCGGCCACTCATGATCAAAACATTGCTTCGAAGGTTTTGTGAGCGGAATGTGTCTTCCACGTAGCGGATAAAATCGCTAAAACGAGTCAGTGTAGCTCGAGCGAAAAGGGAGCGAGCATTCTGCGATCATGCTTACCGTGGGAGTCCCTCATTCAGCACAAGAATCTGAATATCGGGAACTTCATGGGGGAGTCTCCTACGTAGGTCCAGACCATCCTCGGTATAATCCCGCCGTGGAGATGGACTCCTGTGCCTGCGAGGCGGCGTTCTTGACCTGCTGCGATACCGTGCATCAAATCTGTCGCGGCTCCTATCCCGTGATCTTATACCTCGAGGACCACCACGTGGCGAGGGCGATCGCAATGGCCTATAGTCGTCTCGTTCGCGAAAACGGCGGTCTCGATCTCGAGGAGACATCGAGTTTACATTTCCGCCGTATCGCCCCTCTCTAGGAGTCTGGCCTGTCCCACCCCTGGAATAATCGGGCGAGCGAGACCGTCGTCGAGGTAGCGCAGCCTGGGATTCTGCCTTCTTCGTGTTCCGTTGCGGCTTCGAAATCTCAAGGTCTGGTGGTGTGAGTTGATTTTACTGAACAATCACGGTTTCCACTTACGCATCTTCCTACCACGTACTGCTTGGCCCTGCTCTGCGTCTAATGCTCTACGACATGACTCGGCATCCAGGAACTGCACAAATCCGTATGCTTGCTTTATTGATATCTGCGCGAGCCTGCCGTGTCTGTAGAACCGATGGAAAATGTCTCGTTTGGTGACCTTTTCGGTGGGTAGATTGCCTGAGCATTCAAAGTTAGTCATGTCTCCATCTCACTGGTAGCAGAGCTCACCAATGAAGAGCCGTGAGCCCATGGGGAATTGATCCCACTGTCCTTCCGTCACAAATTTCCTCTCCTGATCCAAAAATTCCTCGTATTTTCGATTTACCTCGGGAGGCCATCTAATGTCCTCGTCGTCGGGCGTCTCACTCCGCTGGGCAGGCTGGCGTTGAGCGTGGCCTGGTGTTGTGGGACCTGTTCCGCTTGATGTCGGTGCAGTCGAGTACTCTTGTCTCTGCATGTTTAGCGACTGCACTTGCGCGCTGTTGCGCGTCTGTGCAGCACTCGTCTGCTGGCTATGCGGATGATACGATCTTATGTCATCGGTCGGGTTATAGTTGGGATGCGTGACAGGTTGCTCTTGCGTAGGAGGCCGCGGTGGGAGATTGGTAGGTGGTGGCAGAGGTGGCGCATTGGGTGGCGCCTGGGTGGATTGGGCAGACATTTGAGGAACAGCAAATTGACCCGAAGACGCATGATTCGAAGCAGGCGTCAGCGAATCCAACAAGGCTTGCACGTCAACACTGGTGCCGGCTTGCGCCTGAGTCTGGTAGTAAGCGCCATAGGCAGACTGGGTTGGAGCTTGCGGGGCGTAGGCATTGTCATTGGAGTATGGGTACGCGGTATGAGTTCCTTGACCAGAAGTCGCGTGCGCTTGGTGCTGCGAGGTGTAATTCTGGTATGAAGAGACATCATGCGCCTGCGTGCCTAGGCTGCCTGTACCATTGAACGCCGCTGACTGAGCATCGCCCGCAGACACACCCGATCCTACACCTTGCGCTTCTAGACTGTTCACATTGGACGCGCTGGAGTGATGGGCGTAGTGAGGCGTTGAGGTGGGCGTGCTCTGTGACTGTGACTGTGATTGTGACTGAGGCGGGTATTGGGCGGGAGTGGGGGCGCCGTTGCTATATGATGATGGCTCATTGAATTTCGGGTCCATCTGCTCTACAAGAATGGGAATATTGGCAGGCGAGGGGACGTTCTGCGGACGCGGCGACGCGGGCGACAGCGACTGGTGTCTTATGAACTCAGCTGTTTCTGGAGGACTGGATGTCATATATGCGGAAGCCAGGCGCAACGCCAATACACGGTGAGGGCTTGATGAAGGGAAGAAATCAACTCAAAGGCATCTACAGAACGCACCGTCGCGACTAGGGCGAACAGCTGCTGTGCTATAGGTAGGATAGGGTGATGATGAAGGTGCTGAAGGTGATGAAGGTGATGGTGATGGTGATGTTGATGATGATGGTGGTGGTGGTGGTGGTGGTGGTGCGTGTTGGTGTTGGTAGTGGTGGTGGTGGTGGTGATGGTGGTGATGGTGGTGGTGCGTACTGACGTGAATCTGGAAGTGGGGCTAAAGAGCTAGATAGGACAAGCTGATGGGTTAAAGTAGAGTCGCAGTTGCCTCTCTGGTCAGGCGAGGAAGGCACCCTGGGAGGAGGGGGGAGGGGGAAGGACAGAGGGTACAATGGCAAAGTTTGCGGGCTTGGGCGCGCCTACAAGGAGGTGGCGAGGGAGATTGGGAGAGATTCTAAGAATGAAAGGGAGAGGGAGAGGGAGAGAGAGAGAGAGAGAGAGAGAGAGAGCAGATAGAGGAGGAGGAGGTGGTGGTGGAGAAAGTGAGGTCAGGCCGATGCAGCGGTCGCTGTTGGGAAGACGTTGGGGGAGTTTGAACGGTGATGCACAGGCCCGCTCCGAGAAAAGGCTGATCGCCTTTCGTTGGCGTTCTCGAACCTTGGTACCTTAGCACACGTGATGCGTCCTAGTCACTCCCACCAACGAAATGCAGTCTCACTGGCCATGACTTCATCTTGACACACTATCTACTACTACTATATCACCGCTGGCATGCAGGCCATCCGTTGTCGCACCGCCTTTCCAGCCCCAGCCCTCAATCTGGTCCTCATCACGAGGACCACGCCCGCCGTGCAACGCTGTCTGGTCTCAACCCAAAGCAGTGCCAGCGAGGAAGAGCTCAAGGCCGCTCGAGCCTGGCTCGCAAAACTGCATGCCGAGTCAATTCCCCTCAAAAGCATTGGCGAATTAAGTTTCAGCAGGTCATCGGGTCCTGGCGGTCAGAACGTGAACAAGTACGAGCAAGTTGTGCAAGTCAACGGCGCGCTTTGCTAAGCATGCTACAAAGAGTCAATTCTAAAGCTACTCTGAAGGTACCCCTGGACGCGCTGCTGCAGCATGTCCCCACTGCCATTCATGGCGAGCTCAAGCGGTCCCGCTATGTGGCTGTGCGCTCCAATTCCATGATAGTCCAGGCCGACGACAGTCGAAAACAGAACGACAACGCCCAGAGCTGCTACAAACGCCTCTATGAAGCCGTCGTGGAAGCGGGCAAGCATGCTGTGCCAGCGGAAACCTCTGCGGACCAGGCGCGGCGCGTCAAAGACCTGTACGCTGTGGATTTATGCCTTGACTCCCCGACGACCTGACCGAGCTGACACCATCCTAGCCAGAAAAATGAGAATGAGCGCCGCTTGAAGAGCAAGAAGCAGCAGAGCGCCAAGAAGAGCTCGAGACGAGGCCGAGGTGATGATTAAGACCATGGTTGCCATCTTTCACCTCTCGCAACACCACAGTGTTGCGACCCGCCCATACATACAAGACATGTGGCTCACACTGATCGCAAGATACGATGGTTAAGTGAAAGCACCTTTTGTGCCAACAGCGGTGAGGCCTGGCCGGTCCGATAAGAGATATCGGGATATCCATTCGCGGGGGACTGCCTGATAACTAGACCCGTCTGGCCCTTCACGTTTCCAAGGCGGAATACAGCTTCTGCAGCTCATCATTCGCAGGCCATTGCTTAATACTCAAACAAATCAACCTCTCAGCTTCTGCTCTTCTTCCCTCTTGCTGCAAACCCTTGGCGAGGCTTGTGACCCTGTCACCAGAGCCTCCGACGTCCTCGAGCGCTCGTACATATTTTCGAAGTGTCACACGGATGGCCCGCTCCAGAGCTGGATCCACATCCGCAGACAACCGATTACTGTACGATAACAATCGGCGAACTGCGATTTCCGAGAGTCGGAGAGCATCATTTGGGTTTTCCTGAATGGCAGAGCTTATCAGGTCGAGCGCGTCGCCCAGTGCTGCAGGAAACTCGGGCTTGGCAGGATTGCAGCCGAATAGCTGCATGTAAAATCTGCAGATGGCAGTCTCTACAGCTTGTGACGAGTTTTGCTCGAGATAGTCAAGAATGTGCTCCAAAATGCGTGGTATGCACGATAATTGTTCAAACTCGGCAAACATGCCAAAGAAGTTTTCGGCGACTTTGGGCTTGCCCTGAAATTGTTTCATGGCGGAGTCGAAGATGGCAAGCGGAATGGCGCCTGTTAGAATGGGTGCCGAAGCTAGGTTCTGCAGCGCCACCTCATCTACACCATCTTGCTTTAAGCTCGGGTTCACGTCCTCTGCCGTGATTTGTGGAAGCGCAATCAGGTCCTCGTCCTCATCTTTCCCAGTCTGTTGTTCTGCGCGGTCGACATCTAAGCCCAAAATCTTCCTCCGACCTGCAATCTTTCCAATGTAAATCGTCTCTAATTTTGCGTACTCAAGCCACAAGACTTCAGAATTCTTGCAAAAGCGCAAACCGCGTTGCATGTAGCTTCGCGCATTGGTCATGTCCGCCTGGGTGTCCATGAAATAATTCGCAGCGAGGATCCATATGTCGGGCTTGGTAGGATGCAGTCGTGCTACCGAGGTGAAGATGTCGCTCATTCTCTTGTACGCCTTGTCTTTGCGCGCAAAGTCGATGTATTGCATCCACAGCGACAAATCCCCTGAGAACTTGCGTGTCGCACGGTTGTAGAGGAAGTAAATGCCACGCTGCCCATAGCCCTTGAAGCGTATTCCCAACCGCTTGACCCTCTTCCGTTGGAGAGCGTAGACATTCTTCTCGAATTCTATATATCGCATGTAGTCAGAGGGGTGTGAGCCGCGCGCATTGATTATGTGTTCAAAGTCTGAGCGCTTCGATGCTATAGAGCGGATTTCTTCCTAAAGCCAGTTAGATTCAGTTGAGCGTTGGGTGATTTCGAGGAATCCCAGCTTGCCCTTGTAAAGATCTTCTTGCGCTCAAGCTCGTTCAGCTCCGTCGCCGACTGCTCGAGGTAGAAACGCGCCTTGTCACTTGCGCCAGCCATGCTTGTCGGGATGCAGCGTATAAAGAAGCAGCAACCGTGGGAAAAAAGTCCACGGGCGGTCGAGAAAACTGCTCGCGTAAACTTACTCCCGTTTGGTAGCGGCTTGGCCTACGACGCGAACCCTGACCTCGGCCGTCTTCAGGAGACGACAACGCGTGTCTGTCCAGCCAAACGGCCGAAACCCCAATTCACCACCCTCTTTCGTTTTCTCTTCTCTTTGGGGAGGAGTGATTCTTTTGGACGCTCTTCCAGTTCGATCTCATCATGGTTAAAGACAAGGATGGCGACACGGTCGCAACAGTGAGCAGACCTGTCTGGCACGCCCGAACGCTCCGCATGCTTACAGTTTGGTAGTTTAATGGGAAATGGGTATCCTACGCACATACCGTCATGGCATACTGTACGTTGCTTTCCATCTGTACTTCAGATTTGTCAACTGATCAATCTCCAGGTGCATTCGTTGGAGCCTTGATTGTGGGAATGTATGGAATTGCGCCCAAGACCACCACTTTGTGCCATGATTGACCACCCACAGAAAGCTGCACTACCACAAAATTGTACAAAATGAACACTATGTCAGTAGCCAAGCAGACCATATGCTTCAGACATACTAATGACTATGGCAGGGCTATCCTGACGAATGGTTCCCGTCTGTATCTGCGACAATAGGCGACAAGTACCCAGAACGCTCAGTGTTCATGCTGTTTATAGCGCTCACCTCGGGTACAACCTCTACACGAAAAATCCAACCCCGAAACTGAGCATTGTATAGGTCCTCGCTTCGCATTGGTCGGCCTATGGTACATCCTGACCCGCCGACCGAACTCTTCGCTTCCCAAATTCATCGCCGGTGTTGGCATCTTCCGAACATTGACCTGTGGAGGGTGGACATACGTGACATCGACCGATGATCATGACTGGCACGACATCTTCATGATCTCATACCTTGTGGCGACACTCCCGTGGACTCTGGGCTGCCTTGCTTTGAGCCCAAAGAACCCAACTGCGCTGAAGTTCCGCAAAGTGTTTGCAGGTTCCTTCTTTGCTACCCTAGTGCCATTGATCTACTTCTTCATTCAACACAAGGTACATCGCGTTGCTGGAGGTAGGCTCTACATGCAAAGATTGATCTGCCTGGACTAACATGCCAAAGCTTATACCACCTATGCATTCTTTGAGTGGGCACTGGTTCTGCTCGACGTCGCATTCGATGCTGTAACCATGATCGAGTTTGAACATCTCGAAGTGGTAATAAAAGATGTCCGAGGTGTATCTCGTGTGTACGTCCCACGACTCCCAAAATAGATAGACACCATCTACGAATGAAAATGGTTTACATGAGCACGTTCTGATCTATTGCGACTTGTAGTGCTGGTAACAAGACAACTGTCGATGCTGTCTTGGAGAAGCAGTTAGTATGCCCGTATCTCATCTCACCTACAATCGCTCACATGCATGCAGGAAAGACAGCCAAATTGGAGCTACTTTTTCTGGCAATTTCTCCTGGGTTGGCCTCATCCATGCCGCAGCAGACGTCTACAATGGAGTAAGTATTGTTATCATGTATCAACAAGAGCTTCAAGTAACACGTATTAGTTCGTTTTCTGGTCCATGTTGACTTCTCTTGGTGTCTGCGTTTGGTGTATGTACATCCAAGCCTATTGAGCATATAGTGCTGACTAATCCTAGACTTCCCATTATGGCACATGGGCATCTCAGGCTATGAGGCTCTGGTTATGTGTACCGTTTCCCCGTTCTTTCTCGGCATTAAACCGCTTCGTTACATCGTCGTCCGCTACGTCTGGGTTTTCCATCTGCTCTCCCTGTCGGGTCTTCTGGCTTTCCTGGCTAAAACACCAGTCAACCGTCTTTTCGCGGTCGGCTTTGGTCTCTCCATGGCATGCATTGCCTGGACGGCGACTTTATTTGCAGAGCGATCACAGCCTCACCGTCTTGAGGCACGCATCACGGCCTTTTCCTTGGGTCTGCTTGCTTCTAGTGTTGCCAAGTTTGCTTTCTGGACGAACAACCCAATATGGCCCATTATGCACGAGGAAAATGGTGGGTGGAACAAGACTGGTTTAGCTGTCGCCTTGCTTGCGATGCTCATTTCGACAACGAAGACTGCAAGCTCGGGAGCAGATATCCCTGCGCAGGGACCGACCAAAGGATCATCTGTCTTCGCTAGCTTCGGTATCGCCGGTCTATTCTTCGCTATGCATTCATTACTCTCCGACTCGAGCACCATGATCTCCTGGGTCTGGGAGGGCTATCCGGTTCGCGGCCCCCAGGCGGTTCCCCACGGTACTTGGACTTTGCTCGCCATGGGTGTTGGTCTCATCATCGGCCTCTTCGCACCCAGTTTCTCACGTTCGTGGGCGTTCTATGGCATTGGCTCGATCGGCGCTGCTGTTGTGACAACCTCGAGCCACTGGACGGGCTTCTACGGCGGACTTGTACTAGCTGTATACACCATGGCTGTTGCTCCCGTACTCATTGGCCATGCAGCCCGTCATTCTCCCGCTCGTACTTTCGGTCTTGGCTTCCTAGTCTACAACTTCATGGTCCTCTTTCACGTCTGGGTTGTCGCCTACGCCTTTGTCCCCGGAGGTCCACTCGTCCGCGAGCACACCGACTGGGTAATGACAAGCATGATGCTCCAAATTGGCGCAGGAATCTTCAGCGTCTCAGCTCAGCCTCCGGCTACCAAGTCGTACAAGGGCAAAGCCGTCATCACGGCCGCCGCCAGTCGCCAGCGCTCCTACTACCTCTACATTCTCGGTGCTCTGGAACTTGTTGGCATCGCTATTGCATACCTTCGTTTCCCGTCTTACAACTACACGCCCTACCACCCAGAAACCAAATCCATCACCGCAGGCATCTGGACCATCCACTTCTCCCTCGACAACGACATGTGGTCCTCGGAATACCGTATGCGCGACCTGATCAAGGAGATGGAAGTCGACGTCATCGGCCTGCTGGAAAGCGATCTACAGCGCATCATCATGGGCAATCGCGACACGACACAATTCCTCGCCGAAGACCTAGGCATGTACGTTGATTTCGGCCCCGGCCCGAACAAACACACATGGGGCTCTGCACTTCTCTCCAAATTCCCCATTGTCAACTCAACACACCACCTACTGCCTTCTCCCGTGGGTGAACTGGCCCCGGCCATCGAAGCCACTATCGATGCCTACGGGGAAATGGTAGACATTTTCGTCTTCCACTCTGGTCAAGAAGAAGACCCGGAGGACAGAAGACTGCAAAGCGAATATCTCGCCGCTCGTATGAAAGCCACGCCCCGCCCCGCCATCCTCCTCTCCTACCTCGTCATCAAGCCCGGCGAGGGCAACTACAACACGTATGTTGGTGAGAAGAGCGGGATGAAGGACATTGATCCCACGGATTGGGACCGCTGGTGCGAATACATTTTGTACAAGGGTTTGAAGCGCACGGGGTATGCGAGGGTGAGTAGGCATACGATTACGGATACGGAGTTGCAGGTGGGCAAGTTTGTGGTCGGGGAGCCGGAGAATGGGGCGGAGATGGTGGAGGAGGCGAAGGTGCCAGAGGGATTGAGGTTTCCGGCCATGTTTAAGGGAGAGGGGGTTAGGGGGCATCAGTATCATGTTTTCAATGAGCCGAGGTATTATGCGTGAGGGACGGGGAGTGTGAGAGATGGGGAAAGGGAAGGCAAGGAAAGGGAAAGGAAGGGAAGAGGAGTAGGAGATTGTGTGTAGGGGGATTTCAGTTTTGAAAAGGATTGAGGGAATGGCTAAATGGGTGTATACATCTGTACAGATAGAAAAAGTGAAACTCTGTGCTTAACATACGCCGATCTCATGATGTATCTTCTTTTGTTTCAAGGTCCAAATGCCCATCTCTCCTATACATCTATAATACAGCGAGCCAGTATGCCACAACCTAGCCCCGCAGTCTCCATTCCCTCCCAGCAGCGCAAACCGCCCACTCCCTCACCCCCAGCCTACATACCGCGCTCCGTCAAAAACTGCTCAATCTTCTCCTTATGATGGCCCTTGACAATCACGTGCTGCGTCAGCGCATTAATCCCAACCTCGTCGCTGTCCAACGCCTTTCCCAGCTCCTCCTTCAACGCCCTTATGTCCCCTGTTATTCTGCGCACGGTGGTCAGGCGCAGGTTGCCTCCGCGCTTCGAGTCGGTGTATACGGGGAGGTTTTTGGATTTGGAGCGCGAGACGTGCCATTTGGGGGGCGAGGTTGGTGTTGGGGAGGGTGCTTGGGCGCTGTCGGATTCGGTGAGGGCTTCTGCTGTGGCGAGGTCGGCTGCGCGCTGGGTCTGTTTTTGTGTTGTTGAGGGGTGGGTGGAAGTGGTGTTTGGTCGGCTGGGGGGAGGTGGGTTCTTGGATGGTGGTGGTGGTGTTTGATGTGATTTCGATTCTGTGGGGGGTTGGTTAGGGTTGTATTCGCTTTTTAATGGGGTTCTTTTGGTGGTTGGGTGACGTCGTACTCTCAGTGTACTTGGGCGTTGCGGTGGAGAAGCGGAGTTGGTGCTGGCATGCGACTGTTCGTGGTGCTGCGATTGTGCGCAAGAGTTGCGCAAAAGGGTGAATACGAGGCATGTTGGGTGGAGAGTTGGTATGTTGGCTGCTGAGAACAGACGGCACAGCGACAATTACAGGGCTTTCGCAGTGGGAAGCTTGGTTCAGCAGCATACAGTGAATCAAACATTCTTTACGGGTTGGTTAGTTAGCGTTGCAGGGGTGCTCGCTACCGCACAGCGACACGGGCCATTTTTCTTCCAGGGCCGCGAACCCCACCACCACCACCACCACCACCGCCCGCCGACATTTCCAAATTCGCGCCCGCCCACCCTTCACCCTCCACCCTCTACCCTCTCCTCCGCCAACCCCCCACCCCCCGGCGACAAGACGACAAGGACAGCCACCGCCCACCATGGCAGCCGACTCCGCCTCGACCAACGGCGCCAGCATTGCTGAGCAGTACAGCCTCCTGCCCAAGCTCATGCCCTACCTCGACCGCCATCTCGTCTACCCGCTCCTCAACTTCTCCAGCGATGAAGAGGCAGAACAGACAATCGAGCAGAAGAAGCTGCTGCTCCAACTGCTCAAGCCCACGAACATGACCGATTTCGTCGGCCAACTGCACCAGGAAGTCGAAGGTCTCGACGACATGCCCGAAGAGTACAAGCAGAAACGCGACCAGGTCCTACAGCGTCGCGACCAGTTGGAGGAGCAGACGAGCAAGATCAGCGCCCTTTTGGACGACGAGAATGTCGTCACCAACCTGAGGAGTGACAAAGTCCAGAACTTGGCCTACCTCAAGGAGAGCCACGGAGTCGACATGGACATGGTCAACCAGCTATACGAGTTTGGCCAATTTCAGTACAGCTGCGGTGTCTACCCACACGCTGCCGAGTTGCTCTACCGGTTCAGGGTTCTGGTATGACTCCCCCTCCCCTCGGCTACTGGCTACTATCCTCATGTACATGTACACTGTGCTGACTGTGAATGCAAGACCACCGACGGCGACAAAGAACGCGAAGCCACGTGGGGCAAGCTCGCATGCGAGATCCTCTCCGTCAACTGGGACTCGGCGATTGAGGAGATCAACAAGATCAAGGAAATCATCGACACACGCCTCTTCAACAACCCCCTCGCACAACTCCAGCACCGCACATGGCTGATCCACTGGTCGCTCTTCCCCCTGTTCAACCACGAGACCTCGCGCGAGACCCTCACCGACATGTTCTTCTCTCCCGCATACATCAACACCATCCAGACCAACTGCCCGTGGATCCTGCGCTACCTCGCCGCTGCCGTCATCACCGGTCGCAACAAGGGTAGGAACTCAAACCAGTACCAGAAACAGCTCAAGGACCTGGTCAGGATTGTCAGGCAAGAGGGCTACGAGTACAATGACCCCGTCACCGACTTTATCAAGGCGCTGTACATCGACTTTGACTTTGAGGAGGCACAGAAGAAGCTCGGTGAGACAGAGGAGATTTTGAAGAATGACTTCTTCCTCCTGGGAGCAGCGGATCAGTTCATCGATGCGGCGAGACATCTCATCTCTGAGAGCTACTGCAAGATTCACCAGAGAATTGACATCAAGTAAGATGGCGCCTTTTGCTTTGATGATGAAGAGCGATTGCTAACAACTACATAGGGACCTTTCCACACGCCTCGGTCTCTCACAAGATGAGGGTGAGAAGTGGATCGTCAATCTCATCCGCGACACCCGCGTAGACGCAAAGATTGACTACCAAGCCGGCACAGTTGTCATGAACCACCCTCCACAATCTGTCTACCAGCAAGTCATTGAGCGGACCAAGGGCGGCTTCTTCAGGACCCAGGTCCTCAGTGCGGCAGTAGCGAAATGAGCGTGGCCAGAAACTCAGTCATGATCTGTCCTTTTGTTTTTCTGCATCAGGGGGGCTAGCCGCTTCTGGGGAGGGTTTGTGAAAAAGTCAAGGTGATCGGTTCTACGGGGTCGAGGAGGAGGCGGCCGTTGATTTGATGTGATGTTACGAGAGTGGGTGAACTCTGTAAAAAGCAGACAAGGAATCTCAGAGATTCTGGCTGAAGCTGTTTTGCGAGAAAATGATGCGTGTATGTATGCGTGCATGCATGCATTGGACTCGGGCGTCTTTAACTTTACGCATGCTCGGCAACTTTTTAGTTTTTGTATCATTGAACAGGGGCCATGTGAGCACTGGGCACTGGACACTGGACACTGATTAGACCGGGAAAGATGAGTAACTAGTAAATTACCCTTTGAATGGAGATATGAAATATTGTTCATTTTGATGCATTGATGCAAGACGTGACGGTGCTGTCTTGTGCTGAAAACCAAAACTGGGGGGGGGGGGGGGTTTAGGGCGAATGATTGGTTTTGGTATGGGTATGTTACAAGGAGGACGAGGACGAGGTAAGCATAGCATAACTATTACTACAGACTACATAGGTAAGACCTGGTTAGGATAGACGCTAGACTCTATTGAGTAATACCACTAGGTACGGTAAGACTGCACTGCATGCCCGTTTCCAAGGTTCCTGTATGATACAACGCCAACGCCGTACACAAACGGAACCCTGGGATGACTGATATGGGGTTGTGCAATTAACTTAACAGCGGCGGTTTGGGTGTTTCTGAGTTAGGGGAGATGTGGAGGGTTTTGTGGGGTTTTGTTGGGTTAGGGGCTATCTGTTCGAGGTTTGTTGTTTGGGGGGTTTGGTTTGGTTTACCTACTTGTTTTGTTTTTTAATAACGACTTAGTTGGGGACTTGGGGATTTAGGCACTCGCTTAGGTGGGGAGATGGTTACGATCAGGGATATGCGTCATCTGAAGAATGATATACCCATTCACATATCCCTTGACTACCCACCCACTCTCCCTACTCAACCCTAACTACCCACTTACCCACCCACTCACCCCCGCAATCTTCCCCGCCAACCCCTCAATCGGCACCGCCTCCAACACATCGAAAATCGCAATCTGCGCATCCCATCTCCCTGCGAATCCAATTCCTCACCTCCATCGCCCCCTGCGAATCTACACCGTACAAGTACATGGGTCTGCCGGCATCAATTTCTGCACTCTGTGTTTGCAAAATGTGTGCGATTTTGTGGACGAGCGCGCTGGTGACGATGGCTGTGGCGTCGGCGAGGGAGGGGGCGGCTTGGAGTTGGGGTTTCAGGGGTGCGGTGGTGGTGGAGGTGTGGTCGGGTGGAGATGTAGGGTTACGGCTTGAGGGACTGGTTGAAGAGAGGGGGAGGAAGCGCAGGTCGTGGATGAGGTATTCTGGACGCGGTGTGTTTACGGCGTCGAAGGCGGCCGATGTGCCCAGTCCGACGCAGATTTGAGCCGGGGTGGGTGAATGGTGAAGGCTGTGTTGCTCTTGCTGGTGGCTTCGTAGGACTGCTTTGATCAGGGCGTGGAACAGAGGTTCGCGTGTTCCGGTGACTGCTTCCCAGCGCTTCACGTCGCCCGTGGCTCCGTGTTCCGCGAGGACGCCTACGTCGGGCATGATGCCGAGATCGAGACTGACGCCGCGGAGACCCAGCGCGCGGCGATGATGGGCAATTGCTTCTTGGAACGTCGAGCCGGCTGCATAGTTTGCTTTCCCCTTGTTGCCGATGATGCCGGAGATGGAAGAGAGATTGATGAAGAAGCCCAGCGGGTGGGTGGTGTCGAAGTAGGCGTGGAGATTCCAGGTCCCTTGAATCTTGGGCCGGTTGGCTTCGATTTACTGCGTATGCGTCATGGTTTCGTAGAGGCTGTCGCAAAGGGCCATAGCGAGTTTGAATACGCCTTTTATCGGGGGCAAATCGGCTCCACAGCTTTCGAGGGCGGAGCTGAGTGCGGTTTCGTCACTGATCTCGGCGCAGTAAGTGTGTACTTTTGCGCTTAGATGGACAAGCTCACGCACAATGGCGCGAGAGTCTTCACTTTCAGCTCCTGAGCGAGATATAAAGGCGAGATTCCGGGCTCTGAGACTGATCAGCATCTTTGCTATGCTGCGGCCCAGTCCTCCCAGTCCGCCGACGAGGAGATAGGTATTCGTCTGGACTTAGCTTCAGGACATCCTAGGCGCGTTGCAGGACCAAAACTTCGGAGTACCCACGGAAAGAAATGACCAGTTTGCCCTGGTGCTTTCCACTTTGCATGGTGCGAAATGCGTCCTGAATTTGATTCAGGGGCAGGACGGTCAATGGATGAGGTGACTGCAGAACTCCATGACGCACCAACTCGAACGTGTCTCGCATAGCTTCGGCCATAACTTGGGGCGCTTGGTCCACAAATCTAGCAGGTTGAAGCAGGCAAATGTGGCACTGCGTGCGAAGGGCCGCATATCCAGTCTCGTGTTTTCGAGGGCGTTGCGGCTACCAATTTCGACCATGATGCCCAGCGGTGCGAGACAGTAGAAGGACTCACGGAGTAACTCGCCAGCCAGTGAATTCAGGACGCAATCCACGCCTCGACCATTTGTGACACGCTTGACTGCCATAGCGAAGCTCGGGTCGCGCGAGTAGAAAATGTGGTTGTCTGGAATTCCATACTGAGACTGCACGACACTTCTCTTCTCGGCGGAACTCACAGTTGCATAGACAATTAGCCCCAAATGCTGTGCAAGCTGAATGTCGGCCTGCACCACGCCTCCAGCAGCAGCGTGAATCAAAAACGACTAGCCGCGTCGAAGTCCTGCAATGCTGACTAGAGCGTGGTAGGCGGTGGTGAGAACAACGGGCATGGCAGCGCCAGCCTCGAAGGAGATTTGCTCCGGTATGATCGCGCACATGAGGAACTTTGTTCGAACGACGGTGGCATGTGCGCCTAAGACATAGGCGCAGACGCGGTCTCCAACCTGGACGCTTGTCACGTTTGAGCCGATGGCTGTGACTGTGCCGCTGGCTTCGTAGCCTAGCTCCGGCGTGACTATGATTCCCATGGATATCATGACGTCTCGGAAACTGAAGTGGATAGATGTTAGTTTGATATCCCCTTTCATGATGGATTCGTGCTGGAAACTTTTCACAGCACGAGTTCAGCAAAGGATGGTAACAGTCTAACTTAACTTACTTCACACCAGATGCCTCAACCCGAGACTCCACCTCATTCTCCCCCAACGGCACAGACAGCCCAGCATGCCTCTCAAAATACAAAGTATCCAATAGCCCCGGTTTCCCAATCGCCAATTTCACCGGATACTCGATCTCCCTGAGCTTCAGCACACGCGTCTGCTCGCCCCTGAATCCTAAAATCTGCGTGTTCAGCTGCTTCTCCAGAAAAATGCGATTGGTTTTGACCAGCCCGTCGCTTTCAACGAGGAACCCAATTTCTTGGCCCGTGCTACATGTAATCCGTGCCGTCATACGAGTTCCAATCCCATCCTCCATGGTCTCAGGGGCTAGGTGCAGTAGCTGGAGCCACTGGCCGACATTTTCACTGCGAATGGAGCGGAAGAGACCGGTGGCGATGGAGGCGCTGGGGCCGGAGAAGGCTGTGATCTACAAGAGGCCCCTCTATGTGAGTCCCGCACTTCGAATGAGTTCGAAATCGTCCGATGAGAGGGCTTCCATGTATGAGGTTTCATGCTCAAGTAAACTGATGACGTGTTGTCCAGGATAGCGTTCAAGATCTTTGGACCCCACGGTATAACGTGGCCGTTTGCACCCTGGGATTGCAACGCCGAGACAAGGCATGCAGTGAATACAGTTACGCGTGCGCTTGGAGATGGAGGCTCAAGGATAAGGATATCACTGATGTTCTTTGGGGCGAGGAGTCAGGTGCGTGTGAGGCTGAGGAGATGTCTACCGGGCTGTTTGACCCTGAAGTTTGGGGCTTTGCGCTCATTTCCTGTGTGGCGAGGGAGATATCGAGGTCAATACCAGAGATGAGCTGTCCAGTGGGTGTGAGTAGTGTTTTGAGCTGGCGAAGGCATGTTTCGAGTCCTGGTGTAGACTTGCACCGCTCAGGGACAATGATAAGATCATATGTGTCGGTCTTGTCGAGACAGCATTCAGAGTCATTTGCAGAATCGAGAAACAGTATGTTCCTATTATTTGATGTGCTTGTAGACCCAATAATGGCGTAGTTTACTAAGCTTGGGAGCGTGAATCTCGCAATTGAGAACATACTGCTCCGGATGAAAGAATCGATGTCTCCGGTCTTGGGTAATAACTCCAAGACTGTTCGTCCAGGCTGTTCGTGCAGCAACATGCTACAGATCTAATCATTGTCAGTTATATTGCCTCATCTTCATAGTCTCATTTAAAAGTAGTGTCCAAAAACTCACCTTGCTAATTCTAACGTTGGAAGTTTCGCCTGCGTTCTCCACCATATGCTGCACCTGACTAGGCTTCAGCAGATGTAACCCATGCTCCCAACTCGGTGAAGAGCATAGAACCGACGCTGTGTCATAAGGCTGCCCATCCGACTGGCTCTCATTCGAAGTTTCAGTCGTGCACCTGAATCCCCGCATAGAAATGTAAGCTGAAGTTCCAGACTAATCAAAGACATCGATATCAGCTGTGACCTCTCCAGGGCTCCGCGCCTGTGCTACCGAAACACCTTTCAAGTTGGTCCCCACAGCATCAGGAATACCAGAGAAGATGGCCAGCTCCTCGATGAACGTAGGAACCATTGGTTTGGTAGGTGGCTTTATCTCATCATGCATGGCGCAAAAGGTGGGTGCGAAGATGGAGTCTAGTGTGGTCGGGTGGATCAGATGGTGACGGCCAGGCTGGCCCGTACTGAAGATCTCTCCGGGATCACCAATGGAGATTTCAAACACGGATTTCCCTTTTCTCAGGTGCGGCTTCTTGATATTGCGAAATGTGGGACCAAAGTCCAAACCTACTTTGCTGAAATCACGGTAGAAGTCACCAGTGGGAAGTTCCCCAGCACGAGAGTCGTATGCACTCCTGTAGTGTGAGATACGGGAAGCGGCGAATAGCTGCATCTCGCGATCCATGTGTTCCTCGTGGTTGGCCCTATAGACGATCTGGATCATGCCGTGACAGTTTTCTCAGCTGGCATGTCAGCGCTTCCAGAGGTCGACACGGTGAACTCGAGCCATCTTATATTCGAGCTTGGGCCGGCTGTATTGGTGAGATGTGGATCTAGATGGATGGTGGCTTCGCTTGCTCACTCCTCGTTTACCACCACGGCCGAGCCGATGGATATACCGCAGCTTGAATGAGGGAATCGACTTGCCTGCATCGGCCATCTGGCGAGCGGCCTCGATAGCCATGACGGCTAATCCTGCCCCCGGGAACAAGACCGTGGACATGACCTTGTGATCACGAATCCACCCTTCCCCCGAAAGGCGGAGATGGCTGCGCCAGATTCGTTCTCTTTCGCTGATGGATGTGAAGGAAGCACCAAGCAGACTCTTCTGAGGATGTTATCGCATGCAAAATTCCCTGTTGATGCGAGATCCCGCGTCGAACCTGCGCGAGTGGTTTCAGGGATACGGTGGCAGATCAGTGAGCGTTTCAACAGACTCGTCGCCATTCACTTTGGCAATATCAACCGGGTAGCCCTTGACAAAAGGCCAGCCTGCAAGGTCAAGAACTGTATCGACCGCATTCATTCCCCTGGTCATTGCAGAGCGGTACTCGGTACCCTTTGACCCGTTTTTGTCTAGTACTTCTTCAACTGGTCCAGCCAGAGCAGAATGCGATCCAAGTTCCACCAGAATATCCACAGTATTGGCAGAAGACAAGGCCGAGTTATCCTCTGCCGGCGTCAAAACCATCTCAGTCAAGGCGTCGGAGAAATACACCGGGTTGTTGAGATTACGGCCCAAGTAGAAACCACCCAGTGACTCTGGTGCAGCTTGCCCGCCATCCGTACTGGAAAACATGACTGGCCTACCATCCCCGTCTTCCTGAGGGATTACATGAATATGGCCCACGGCCTGGACGTAGCAAGGGTGGATTACCTGCACATGATCGGAGTGGTACGCTACATCGATGTCAAGGCGTCGTGCAGATTTACCCTTTGCATCTAGCGTCGCCTGGAGCCAGGATGCCGAGTTAAGCCAGAGATGGTGACATGTACAAAACAATTTACACAGGCGACTGTCAAATCCGTGTCACCCATGCGAGAGATCAAGTCCTCGATATCTTGCTGAGAACTGCCAACAACCATCATACCTCCGTCTAGTTCTGGCGCCACCATCTTGAGTCTCGCGGATGCAACGCTTCCTAGGTATGCCACAAACACGGCATTAAGTTTGTGGAGAGCGCCTACGCAGTGCGCGGCAGCAATCTCGCCGCTGGAATGTCCCACAACGCGTGCGGGCCTCACGCTATATAATTGTAACAAGTCCACCAGGTCTATCTGTAGCATCGTACAGATTATCTGGCTACGTTCCGGTTCATCTATCCATGCCTTGTCCCTTGACTGAGCTCTTTAATGACACGCCACGAGCAGCCTATTGAAGCAAGATGTGTCTCGTACTCATCAATGGATGCTTTGAAAACGGGTTGGTCGAGAAGCTCGACACCCACTCGTGCCCATTGGGCACCCTGGCCCGTAAATATATACCCCAGTGATGGCGTCTTGTTGGCTCGGACGGCGGTATTGCCCGGCAGTGACGTAAGTCGGGATTGGGACTGATCTAGGCTTGAAGCAATGCAGTAGTATTTCCAAGTGAGCTTGAATCGCTTGGTACCAAGTGTATAAGCAAGATTGGCCACATATTCTAAGTAGCATGTGCTTGGATGGTAGCGAGATGGGAGGATAGCACCTGTGCTACGCGTGCTATTCCTCCCTGGTCATGGCTGGTGATGATGAAGACTCGCTTTCGGAGGTATGATTTTCTGCCGCCTAAAGGACCCAATAAACCCCTGATACAGCTGCTAGTCTGTGGTGCTACGGTTCGCCGCCGTGACTGGGGTGCATTCTCTACGATGGCGTGGGCGTTGGTACCGCGTGCACCAAAACCACTAATGCTCATGCGTCTCTTGTCCGCTCTGGTCCAAGGTATCATCTCAGTCGGGACATGGAGGTTTCCATTTACCAAATGGGATAGTCGGATTTGATGTGTTAAAATATAAGTTGGGCGGTATCACACTCTTTTCCAAGGCCAGGATGCCTTTTATCAGCGCGGCGATACCTGCTGCGCCTTCGATATGTCCTATCTAAAATATTTATTAGCATATTTAACTAGAGAGCTCGAAGCGAACGATATTATATTTGGTTTGACGCTTCCGAGGACTAGTTTGCGTTGCGGGCTTGCATGCTCTCCAAGTGTCTCGTAGATGGCGCGACACTCGATGGGGTTGTCGAATTTTGTCCATGTACCCTATAATCATTTGTTAGAGGGATTCTCAAGTAAGGCTGGGTAGGGAGTAGAGTACGGACATGAGACTCAATGTATTGCGTATCTGCCATATCCAGCCTAGCAGTGGCGTAAACGTCACGAATAAGAGCCGCCTGACCGTCAGCACTAGGCATAGTGATGCCCTGAGTGAAGCCTTCCGAATTCACCCCAGAACCGCGGATCACAGCGCGAATTGGATCGCCATCTCAGACTGCATCTCCGAGTTTCTTCAGCACAAGAATCCCACACCCTTCTCAACGCGAGTAGCCGTCCCCGGAAGCATCAAAGGACTTGCAGTGGCCTTCCTTAGTACTCATGGTCATATTATTCAGATAAATAGAGATGTCAGGGTTGAGCATCAAATTGACGCCACCTGCAATCGTCATGTCCGACTCGCTATTCATGAGACTTTTACATGCAAGATGGAGGGCCACAAGGCTAGATTAACAGACCGTTTGTATCACCATGCTGGGCCCCTTCAGTTTGTAATACCATGATGTAGGATTTGCAATCATTTCTGTGATGACCCCGGTCAGGGTGTACCTGAGGTTGGAATCGGGATCTCGGTCGATAGTGTCGCGGTAGTCGGACGTTGAAGAGCCCATGAAACACCCTGTTTTGGTGCCGGATACAGCTTCTATTGGTAGCCAAGCACTCTCAAAGGCCTCATACGCCAATTCCAGTGCGAAGCGCTCTTGTAGATCCATTGCCGTGGCCTCGGCTTGGCTCGTGTTGGAGAAGGTGGCATCGAAAGACATAACATCTTCAGTCAAGAATGGGCACCTTTGTTGGAAGTTTATGGAGTTTGTCTTTTCCACGATGGTGGAATGCATCGGGATTCCATCTGTTGGGGGTCAGGCGGTATGAGTCTGCTTGTTTCTTAGCGTGGAAGTTGGGGGAGGCCCACCACGAACCCCGTTTTGATACGGTACCAAAAGTTCCCAAAACTTCTCTGGTGAGGCGGCGTCTTCAGGTAAGCAACACGATAGGCCAATGACAGCAATAGGATCGTATCCAGCCATTTCCCAAGCTGTTATAGACGAATGGATCCGCCTCGAAGGGTTAAACTGATTTGCAAAGGAACTAAATCCTAGTAGATTTAACTCAATAGCCAATCAAAAGGAGCCTCGCAAGAGGAGCGAACGTCTCATAAGTTCATGGAGAGTTATATCCAAGACACACCTCGACAGCCAGCGTATTACTGTACAAAATCCCATCGTGCAACAACAGTTTGGTTCGGGTTCAAGCCGCGCCGTACGGACTGTCTGAGTCTGTAAGGTAGTAGCAGGTCAAGCATATATGTCAAGTGGGAATTCGACGGATTGATGCCCTTGTTAACGTAGATTCAGGATTATTGCGGAAAGTTCGTAGACCAGCGGATTATCCGAATGCTCCTAGTTACCAAGCACTATGCATATCTCCGTACCCCAAATTGAACCGGAGCAATCTGTTTGAAACCGAGCTTAGATAAGCCTACTTTGACGAACTGTACGACGCCAAGGCAGACAAGCACATGTCGACAGCGACCAAATATGGCTGTTTAATTTGCGAGCCTGGCGAATTTGTGGGTGCGGTTGTGCTGAAGCGGCTCGAGGATGCCGTGGCCGACCAGGACAACATCCTGTCTGTCATTGCAGCGTCGGCGCGCAATGACTCTGGGCAAGCAAGCTCCATGACGCACTCGAACCACCGGGCACAAGAGAGCCTCATGGGCGAGGTGCTGCGCAAGGCACGTGTCGACGCCTCCGAAGTGTCGTATGTCGAGATGCACGGCACCGGCACCCAGGTGGGCGATCTGGCCGAGATGACAGCGGTTGCCAACAGGTTTGGTGGTTGGGCCAGGGGTGCAGGTGATGGGGGTGAAGGTTGGACTTCTTCTGGACAACCACGGCGGGGGCGGGGCCGGGGGCGGGACGGCCCGCTCATGGTGGGGTCAGTCAAGGCCAACGTGTTACCGGGGCTCATTCTCCCACAAGCTGGCCTGTTCAACCAGAAGATCGAAAACAACTTCCCCGACCTCGATCAACTCGACATACAGATTCCAACGCAGCTGGCGCCCGTTCAATCGCGCCCAGGGGGAACACATACCATTCTCATCAACTCGTTTGATGCCTCAGGGGGCAACGGCTGTCTGCTCATACAGGAGCCACCACCACTACTGTCACCACCACCGCCCAGCCAGCAAGCTGTTTCCCCCGAATTCAACCCTGGACCCGATCCTCGCACTCGCCATGTCGTCGTCACGTCGGCCAAAATGGCAGGCGCCCAGCCAACAAGCCACGCTTCTAGAATTCCTCCAGGTCAACCACAGCACCCCACTCGCCCATCTCGCCTATACGACGACTGCACGTACTTAGGCTCCATTACCCGCTACGCTCCGCCGGGCAGTCGACTCGGTCACAAATCTCATCGACCAGCTCCAGGCAGATGTTGCCAGTGCCAGCAGTGCGCCCTCGCAGTCTGTCGAGGGGGTTAGGTAGCGGGCGCCAGGGTTCTGCCTACAGTGGCTTGGGTTCCCATTTGTTCGCCTATAGCCCTCCATTTCGAGATAAGGCGAAGCTCAGTGTTCGCTTGGCTGTCTCCTTTGGCCTGCCTCCCCTTTTTGCACATCATCGCCGATAGCAACTGCGACGAGTCGATCCAGACGGCCGTCCAAGTCCAGCTGGCCGTCATTACCCTCGAGGTAGCGCTGGCTGCCTTGTGGGCCATTTGTGGCATTAAGCCCGCCATGGTGACTGGCCACAGTTTAGCAAGTATGCTGCTTTGCACGTTGCCGGCGTTCTGTAGGTAGTTGATATGTTATTTCTCGTCGGTCGACGTGCTCAGCTGATCGAGGAGCGCTGTGAGGCAGGTACCTACGACGCTATGCTGGCCTTGGCCATCAATGGCGGAGAGGCTATCCTTACACATGGTTCCTTCATTATATCCCCATACTGGGGAGATAGTCTTGTCCACATCGCAGGTTCCATACTGGATTGCAATCCCAAGAAACCCTTGAGCGAAGTGGCTATGCTACAATTCTTTGGCTCATGCGACTTCTTAGAACCTATATCTGCTGTGAAGCCCTATGGCGTTTATGCCAGGGTGGGCACACCTGGAAATGCCCCAACTCTCATTGATGTCTGGTCTTTGATGGAGATCATCTGGTCATGCAATACAGTAATCTAAGCTTCCACCAAGTTTCAAGTGCCAGTTTCATGCATATGCTGGGTAAGCAGGAAAGCAGCGAAAATACATCTGGTTCCGCTCAACTGTACACCTCCCAGGCTCCCAGCTTGGAGCGTAAGCAACCGATTTCATCGGCTGCATCAGCTTCTGCATCCCTAAAGAGATCTACTTCACTAATCCCTGCTGTCACTGCTGGTCTATCGCCTGTAGATTTACTAGCCAATGACAGAGGTCTCGCAAAATAATTAATCATGAATGTCATTCTCGAAGCTGTGGCTGAGAAGACGGGCTACGGAGTCTCAAGCCTGTCGTCTAAGAGTATTTGTCAGATCTTGGAGTGGACTCTATCATGTCTATACAGCTTGCAATCTATGTACAAATCAAGCTTGAGATGGAAATACAAGCAGGATTATTCTGCCAGTATCCCATGATAGAGCACGTCGCTCAAGCTCTCAGCTCTCAGCAGTCATCTGACCGAATGGCACAGTCGAAGCTTGAGAAGACTGCGAGGACTCCTACCACGCAACTTCAATCAGAAGACTGATCAATTGTTAGCAAAAAGAACCTAATGGCTGCTATTCTCGAAGCCCTAGCCGCTGAGACCGGTGTAGATGCAGCAGAGTTAGACGACTCGGCTTATTTACCGGATCTGGGAGTTGACTCCATCATGGCTATCCAGATTGCAACAGCGGTTCAAAATGCAACTGGGGTCAAGATTGGTGCGACTTCTTTGCATGGCTGCCCTACAGATGGAGACCTGCGACGATTCTTTGCGGACTCTGCCGATTTCTCAGGTTTTTATCGTGGGAAAGTTGCGTCGGCTGTGAATCCATCCCCAAAACCATCGCCTATCTCACACAGTTCCTGGGAGGCCCTCCAAGTGACGTTGGCTACTCAAGAGAGCACAGAAACTTTGCGCACTACTAGCCCGTATGAGCTAACACATCCACGGAGCAGGACCACGACTCCAGAAATGATTAGCAACAACGCCTCAGTCGTTCGAACCATGATCCGCTCCCAATCATCCACTGGGTTGGCGACAAAGCCTCAGTCCAATACACAGGACTCGGCCATCAATACCACATCTAGTGGCACAATGGGTAAACCACGAGTGAACATGGTACTCATGCATGGGCAACTCAAGTCCAACCTCCCACCGCTGCTCATGTTTCCCGATGCGACAGCTGCTGCGGCAACGTCATCCTTCTAAAGCGCCTTAGCAACAACCGTCCAGTCTATGCTGTGGAATCTCCGTTTCTTTCTTGCCCGGAAAAATCCGCCTCTGGTGGGGAAGAGGTGGCTGGTATCATGGCTGAGGCCATAAGCAAGCAGCACAAGGGCCCATATCTCTTGGCCGACTACTCTGGCGGCTCCATTCTGGTCTACGAGGCAGCGCGCCAACTACTCTTCGCAGACCACGAAGTACAAGGTCTTCTCCTCTTCGACATGGCAGCACCCACAGTCTGGCACGGCAAGCACCCAGTAGCCAGGCTTGAAGTTCTAGTAGAAATGATGGTGCGCCTCATGGGCGGTTCCCGCAACATCTGGCTCGACCCAACCGCAGCCAGTAAATCCGAGCTGCATATGCGCCAAATGGTGCGCTGCCTCAGCACCTACAGCGGCAAACCATGCCCCTCACCTGCCCTCCTGCGCAAACCGTCATGACGTGGTGCATGCGCGGTGTGGCTGAACGCCTGGACGATGCCTTCCAGAAGAAGTTGGCCGATAATGGCATGTCATGCGACCCTGTACCCAACTTGATGGAAGAGGCTGAAGAATGGCCGTTCAATGCGATGGTTACTCCTAATAAGCCCCTGGTGCCGATGGGGTGGGATTACATGGTTGGGCCACTACATTGCCTGTCTATCGATACTGACCATTTCTCTATGGTTTCGCCGCCGGATGTAGGTGAAAGACTCCGTCCTCTCTTTCCCCCACGTCCTGTTCTTTTCTTGATGCTAACTTCGATGTTTTTGCTAGTTTGATAAGTTTCACGTTGCGCTAGAGGAAGGGCTAGGTTATTGCATGCAGTAAAAGGGGTAATTTCTTGTCAGACCTGCCTTGGTGTAACCGCTGATCTGAGCGAGGAATACCGCTTGAGTTCCCTTCATAATTTAGATGTGCAAGTGCCTCCAGTAAGATCATCGGTCACCGCGCCGTCTATGGTTGCTTGTGTAGTTTCGCCATTCCGCCACGCCAGGAGAATTTGCTAGATGTCTATCCAATGTCATTTGGAGCTGCCCTGAAGCGATCCACGGACACAAGGAAAATTGAATAACCCTCAAATGTTTGTATCCCAGTTCCAGTGGCAATGGAGCAGAGCGTCTAGCATTAGACTTTATCACGTTCTCAGTGACGCAGGTATGCATCGATATGTTTGTTTCTAGCGATCTATGGGCGCCACGTCATGCTCTCTTTTTAGTATATGGGCTGTTCTACTCGCTGATAATCTAAGGACAATGAGCTATACTCACCTTTTTCACAATGGGAGTGAATACCATGGCCTAACGATCTCTTCATCTGCGGCAATTGAGTTGCTTTGCGGTCCATCTCTTTACATGAGCCCATAGGCTTTAGGACCTATGAGCTGACCCACATACATAAGAAGCTTAAGTACTTATGGGTACTGTCGCAATATTAATATCTCATTAATATCCTACCATATATATCGTGTTATTGGGTGGGGTAATAGTATTCACTTTTGCCCATTTTAGTTCACGCGACAGGTACTTTGACAAGTCAGCAATGTCTTCTAGACCAACTGGGTACAGCTGGTTGTGTGGTGAAGTTATCTCATCGCGCAACATAGTCGTTGATATGGTAGCTCTTGCAAATGCCTTCTAAATTATGACGAATTTTTGACTGGAACCAGGATGATTTCTAGACACCGGTAGACATAGACGAGTTCGGAGGTAGGCCCAGAAGAAGGCTGTAGATCTTTCTCGATAGCAACGAGCACATCAGCTCTTCGCTGACATCCTTCGACCCTCTACTAGGACACTTTGCCACCGGGGACTAAGTCTAGCATGCACTATGTTGCTCAGCGACATATCCTTATCTATGCTACTAAAAGCTTCTTTAATTTTTGCGTTGCATGATGATATTTCTGCTATTTAACTACAGGTAATAGCCAATGCTTCTACTACAATGCGTTTGGCCGCTTTAGCCGATCAGGTTCTTTTTGGTCTTATTCATATTAGCCCTCGGCGACTGTTGTTCGCAGATTTACATAAAACACTCTAGAATTTTATCCTAAACACTTATGCTATGGAAAATCTAGGATATTGCAACCGAGTCAGGCTCAGGCGTACATGAAATGAACGTAAAAACATATACATAGGTAGGTCTTAAAGGACCTTCAGAAAAACAGCCATCTACACTCCTGCACATTCAGCATTGAGCATCATCTGCCTAAAATGTGTACTAGCGAGCGGCGAACACTCTACATCATCTACTAGAGATCTATCCATGATTCCTCCACAAGTACACGTTCTTTTCTTTATAATCTTGACGAGATTTATTAAATGATGCGGTTGCACCTTATGGGTTGTGGGTCGCCTTATCACCTGAGGTTGCGCCGCTGCCAGGCTCCCAAAAGGTGGCGTAACACCCATAGCTATATACTCATGAGTCATCCAGTAGGTGGAATCTAGGACGAGGTAGACTTACACCAATTGATGCATACCATCAAATCTTTGATCAGGGCTTGGTAACCTGTGTTACCCCAAAGGGCCCGATTCACCTGTGTTCCTAAGCACCTAAGTTAAAGTAACTTCCTGTAACGACACAGGTAGGCAGGAATAGGATGTGGGCCTGGCTTGGCTGCACTGTTCTAAGATGGAACGAAGGTTCGTTACACTTCCTATGATCTTATCATTACATGATATTCTAGTATCTGTGGACTGCAATTCTATTATAACTACTTAAATCCTTAAACCCTTTCATTATTAACGCAAGACGTTGTAGCTTGTAAGTTCCTGTAAGCATACACTACGGTAAAAAATTGTTTACTATAGAATGGTACGCTAGGGGTTTACTATATAGGTGTAAACTAACCTTGTGTATACCTATAAATAGGTTTAAAGTAGTAGTTTACTTTTATAGTAGGGGTTTAAATTAAGTATAAAAAGTAGTTTTATTTCTACTATACGCTATAATACCTAACTAAGACTAAAAGGGGTAAAGAAGATTAGCTTTACGCTATACGTATATATAATATAATAATAAGTCATGATATTTTTACTAATAGGAGGTGGTGATAGAGGTGGTGATAGAGGTGGTGGTAGAGGTGGTGGTAGAGGTGGTGGTAGAGGTGGTGAAGAAGATTAAAGAAAGGAGGGGTAAAATACTTAAATAGTAGGAAACTAGGTATTACTACGTAATACTAGTAGATTAATAGAAGTAGAAATAAAAGTAGTTTACTTTTATAGAATATATAGTATAATAAACCCTATTTAGGTTTATTTCTTCTACCTAAACTACTTCTTAGTCTACTTTAGATAAATATAGCTACTATAAACTAGTTTTGTACCGTAGTGATAACAAGATTAAGTTAAGTTACTACATACAAGTCTTAAAGAAGGGGTCCACACTACTTCTGGCTTAGTGTGACGATCTAGCGCGCCCTAGCGTACAAAACCAGCCCCTTCGCTTTCGCTCCTTACAGCTATCCTGACTTCGCGCTTCAGAAAACTATTGCTCGTTGAACATCAAATCCAGCAGACATCATCTTCCGCACTTCGCTCACATTCTACGTAAATTTTGGGAGAATATCGGAAAAATGACCGCGAACGCAGCATCTTCGCCAGGTTTGGAGCTTCCTCGGAGAGTTCTTCATCATTGCCCCTGGTAAGCTAACGTTTACATGCCATTGCACTTAGCTTGCGATCACACGAGCCCAGACAAACTGAGCGGGGAAGCCGATCTCAACCCTCAGAGTCCCATCGTCAATGTTATCGAGGGGAAGGGCGAGTTCCTGGGTGGGGGAGCGACGGGACTTGTAGAGCGTCTTGATTCTGGAGATGTAATCAAGTCTGCTTGGACGGGGAATCCCACAGAATCAGACTGCCGACGAGAAATGACCATTGAGGCGCAGATATATGAGAGACTTGGAGTACATCCTCGACTGGTAGCATTCAAACACTGGGATCCTGTCAACCATGCCTTGACACTGGAATACATGCCTAACGGCAACCTCAAGCAATACGTTCAGAAGCATGGACAGGATATATCGCCATCTCAGAGGCAACAGTGGGTGAGGGAGGCCACTGAGGGTGTCGGGCTTCTACACTCGCACAACGTTATTCAGGCCGATGTTGGGCCGCACAATTTCCTGCTCGATATTGATCTTAGCCTCAAGATCTGTGACTTCGGAGGATCTTCCTTGGATGGCTCGCGGGCAACGGTCGCCCCTGGAGTGAGATACAGGCTGCCAAGCTTGGGCGACACGACGGTTAAAGAAGACCTTTTTGCTTTGGGCTCGACGATCTACTTCATCGCCACGGGCCATGAGCCGTATGAAGAGCTGGCCGACGAAGATCAGGTGGAGAAACTGTACAAGGATGGTGTGTTTCCAGAATTGAGCGAAGTACCCTTCGCAGAGGTTATTGCAATGTGCTGGAGACAGGAAGCCGAATCAGCTAAGGTGATCATGGAACTTGTGAAGCGCTTATCAGAGAACTGCCAATTGATATAAGGCACTTTTGATTCAATATCCAGACAGAGAGTGCGACTTGTATCTAATACAGCCAACATGCTACATCTTTCTGCGACGAGTATCGTATGAAAGATGCGCCGGCTTGGTGCAATGAGCGTACTACAAGTGAAAGGCTGAATGAATGCATCCAATATATCCAATGGCTGCTGATCAAAGTAATCATTCGCCACATTGCGCAGACTGCGCTCTTCCTAGCGCTGAGAAAAGCCTTCGTCTCGGTGATTGGGACACTGAATGCGACTAGTTGTTGCGGCCAACGTACTCGTTCCCGGGTTTGCACAGGTAGTGCGCGACTGAATTGCGGCTTGACGTTTAACCAGGTTGGTGTTTGTCCTGTTACAGGATTGGGGGCATCCCGTGTACTTGATGACGGAAGTCACCCAGCTACACATTCTCTGCTTGAGTCACTTAGCAAGGCTGTAACCTGAATCCCTGGACATGATCTACGTACAAATATTTGGTAGTCTTAATAATGATCGATGTGCTTGTTGAAAAGGACCTAACGCTGTGAATCGCACGTTCAACTATCTAGCAATCTTCAATACATATCACTACAGTAAAAAATTGTTTACTATAGAATAGTACGCTAGGGGTTTACTATATAGGTATAAACTAACCTTATGTATACCTATAAATAGGTTTAAAGTAGTAGTTTACTTTTATAGTAGGGGTTTAAATTAAGTATAAAAAGTAGTTTTATTTCTATTATATACTATAATACCTAACTAAGACTAAAAGGGGTAGAAAAGATTAGCTTTATGCTATACGTATATATAATATAATAATAAGTTATAATATTTTTACTAATACGAGGTGGTGATTATAGAGGTGGTGATAATAGAGGTGGTGATAATAGCGGTCGTGATAATAGAGGTGGTGGCAGAGGTGGTGGTAGAGGTGGTGGAGGTGGTGGAGGTGGTGGTAGAGGTGGTGGTAGAGGTGGTGGTAGAGGTGGTGGTAGAGGTGGTGAAGAAGATTAAAGAAAGGAGGGGTAAAATACTTAAATAGTAGGAAACTAGGTATTACTACGTAATACTAGTAGATTAATAGAAGTAGAAATAAAAGTAGTTTACTTTTATAGAATATATAGTATAATAAACCCTATTTAGGTTTACTTCTTCTACCTAAACTACTTCTTAGTCTACTTTAGATAAATATGGCTACTGTAAACCGGTTTTGTACCGTAGTGTATGTCAACACGGAAGCGCGCGCAGCAACCAACAGCAGGCTAAACCGTGACACAGCCAAATCTATATATATAATAGCAGAGCGCCGCCAATATCCAGGAGTCCAATTCATCGCCCGCAACGGCCTATCCGACGTGTGCACTGATTATCCTTGCCGGCTGTCACTGGCTGGACGTCGAGGCAATTTATAGCTTTAGTCGCCGTGGTTCTCGATTGAGAAGCCTTTGTTGAGCAACTGGTTAGTTCTTGTCCTGGCATCGCGGGTCGCGCAGCTTGCATAAATCCTCGGGGCTTGGATTGGTCGACTGCAGAAGCTCACGTCACCGGGCACCACTGCGCCTCATTATCCTGGCAAAGTGCTTCCTCATTTGGCGCTGAGGAAACTTCATCGATGAGGCACGTACTTTGACCAAGCTGCTTTTGGTCTGGTGTTTACTGTCTTCAGTATCTAAGCTACTGTTTCCTAGACCAGCAAGCTAGCGCAAAATCCTAGAAGAACTTGATACATGTAATTAAAAGCACTGTGCTAACAACGCTATATCAATTTACGTGTATTTTTAACATAGAGAAATTGTAGTAGTAGTTCTCTAAGTAATTTGTGGTAAAGATTCCTGGTGGCTAAACTACATATAGCGGTCTCCTAGATCTTCTCTATTTACTACTATAAATTTTTAAAGTTAATAATAATTAGATACTTTTAAACTATTAAAAAAAGGATTACTAAGCTAAGGAATAATTTAGGATATAGATTATTAGATTATATTTACTATAATAGGACTATTATAGAAATTTAGATTACTAAGGTTGTTATAGACTAGCCTTAAGGGAGAATACAATAAGCGTTAATAATAGTATTTAGTATCTTAAAGGAGAGATAAGCCCTCTACGCCTTTTTATAGGTGTCTAGTATGTTTGCTTAGTAGTAGTGTTAGACTTAGTCTATCTTATATTAGACCTAGGCTTAGGTATAAGCCTAAGTCCTTTATATACCCCTAACCTTCCCCTATAAACTATTGTAAAATTATCTTTCTAGGGGTCTAGGGTTATATCTTTATCCTCTATAATCTATATTAGGCTTTATTACTATATTTTTTAGTTTTATTATTATATCTTTATATTCCTTCCTAATTTATAATAGGCCTATATATTAAGTAGTACGCGCGCGTAGTATCTATATACTTATTTTAGCACCCTACTATAAAAGTTCTAATATAGCTATCCTACCCTACTATAAATTTCCTAAACTTACTTTATTATATAATAGATTTTCCCTACTAATTAGCCCTTTCTCTAATCTTTTTCTATTAATCCTGCCTATCTAGTCCCTATTATATCCTTATCTACTACTACTAGTGCTAGTAGTAGGGATCTACTATAAGGTAGTTAGACCCTACGCTAGGCCTACTAAGATAAGGTGCATACTTCTAATATTCTCCCTATATTTCCTATACTAACTTTGTTTAGCACACATCTCCTTAAACCTAGTTACTTAGTAGCTTTATTATTTCTAGTAACTTAGATAATAAGGAATATAATAGTAGCTTTATAAAGCTACTTCCCTATAATTAGTATATTAACTAGCTTTATCTCTTTAGTAAGTGTAACTATTAGGAGGGTAGTAGTAAGTTCCCCTTAATTTTTTATTTCCTTTATAGCAAGTTCTAACTATATCTAGGGATCGTTTATATAAGTCCTACTATTATAGCTATAAGACTTATACTTAGTTAGAAGCTATCCTTACTAATAATCCTAATATTTACTAAGCCCTCTATAACTAGCTTTAGTTTTATTATAGTTACTAGGAGGATTACCTTTATATTATAAAGAAGGGGACCCTTAGCACTTTTATAGGGAAACCTACTAAAGGCACCTATTACTAGTTTATACTATAGTTCTACTAGCTCTACATATTATTTTAAGGATCTTATATTAAGGGCTTAAACTAATAATACTATTACTCTACTTACCCCTACTACCTACTTGCGCGCCTATAATTAGTATTAGCTTAGTACTATTATTCTATCTACTACTAGTACTCTAGTATTTCCTCTTTAGTCTACTATTACGCCTTTATATAGTAGTTATAGTAATAATAATATTATATAGCTTACTACTACTACTAGTATTACTTTCTAGCGTATTAACTAGCGTATAAATAAGACCTAGGCCTAAACTAACCTTTATATTAATAAGCTTAAGAGCGCTACTAAGCGCACTACCTAAGGTATTAAGACTCTTATTATTAGTATTAGTTTTCCTTTATTCCCTTTATATCTATTCTAATATTTATTTTCTTTAGGCACTATAGTAAAAAATTGTTTACTGTAGAATGGTACGCTAGGGGTTTACTATATAGGTGTAAACTGACCTTGTGTATACCTGTAAATAGGTTTAAAGTAGTGGTTTACTTTTTTGTAGTATAAACATAGTGTGGTTTACTATAGACCTATTAGTAGAGTAAATAAGGTGGTTTACAATAGACCTATTAGTAGAGTATATAAAGTAGTTTATAAAAGACAAAATATAAGTATTAGGTATAGTAATAATAGTATTAGATTTTTTTTAGTATCCTTATATAAACTACTAGTACGTTGTTACCTATCCTATCCCTAGGCCTAACCCGCCTAATTAACAGCCTATACCCACCTAATTAACAGGTCTAAAACCGCCTAATTATTAGCCTATACCCGCGTAATAATTAGCCTATACCTGCGTAATAATCAGCCTATACCTGCGTAATTATAAGGCCGTCCACTGCGTACCTTACTTATTTTTAGAAAACCGCGGTATAATATAAATTAAATAGGTATATAAGTAGTACAACTGCGTAGTAATTAGTGTAAGTTAGTACGTCTAATAATAGTCTAGCGTAACATATAGATAATATACTTACCTAATAAATACTAGTATATTATATAGCAATAGTGTTAGTATAAAGAGCCTAGTACTATAAAGCTAGATATAGACCTATTATCTTACTTAACTATAGGTAGTTAGTCTTAGACTATCCGCGTTTATTAACAATATATAGCTTATTACTAGGTTAAAGTTAAGCGCTGTGTCTATAGTAAACTATAGCTACTCCTATAAGGTTAATAATTATTATTGTTTAAATCTATTTAATGCTGTTATTATCTTCTATTATCCTCTAAGGTTAGGCTAGTTAGCCTATAGTAGCAGCGGGTTATATCTATCGCTATTAAAGTACTCCTACCTATTTAGAGTTATTAGCTAGATCTTAAAATAGGTGTATTACTATCCTAAAGGAGAGCTAAATATAGTTATTATAATTATTTCTAGTGGCGTAATATATAATAAATATAGTGCTCTAGGGGTAGTTACTATCTTTATAATTCCCTAAAACCCTAATAGTATACCTATTTAGAAGTATGCAATAGTTATATATAACTATATCCTAGGCGCGTGTCTATATAGCATGTACTATAGTTATAATTATAGCATAAGTATTATCTAGGATACGTCCCTAGTGCGTATCTATACTACTATAAGACTTAGATTTTAAATAGTGCTCTTATAACTAAGTTATAATTATATTTTTATTAATATTATACTCTATACTAAGCCTAAGCTATTACGCGTAGATAATACGCTTATATACTAGCATATTCTACTTTAAACTAATATACTTCTAGGAAGGAGAAGTTGCTATCTTCTTAATATAACTAATAAGTCTCTCTAAAGACTATTAGGTATAGTATATAGGTGGTCTAAAATCCCTAGTATTAGATATAAGGTAGAGTAGGTAATAGATCTAAATAGAGCAAGATAGTAACTAGTCTACTTTACTATAGTAGTAGAGTAACTTATACTAGTAAATAAAATTCTCTACTAATAGTTCTAACTTGTTAATCTAGTTAATAGTAAACTCCCTCTAGCTTATATAGAAGAGTAGTTTATAGTAGCGTAGGAAGTTATTAGCATATTCCTTCTAAAGATAGACCTATATAGCTAGCGCTCTATAAGTAAGTATAAAAGTCTACTATTTAAATAAAGTCTATATCTTGTATATTATAGTGCTTTATAGGGTAGTACTAACTTAGGTTAGTACTAAGGAATAGGACTTGTAAAGACCTTTATTAATTAAAGCCTAATTAGCGTTAGTAATAAGCTATAGTATAGTCTTATTGTTAAATTTGTCCCCTTTCTAGAGTTAGAACAAGGCTTTAGGTATATTATAGGACATTGCGTGTATAATATTAATAGGAAAGCTATAAGGAAAG